TATCCGGGATCATGCTGCACTCCTAAGGGGGAGCATAAGAAAAAGTAAATAATGTAGTGTTGCACGTGATACATACACCGCATGTTGAGTAAATAAAAAGGTGTTTAACAATAACATACTCGTAAAACAAACAAAGAAAGAGAAGGAAAACCATGAAAAATCTTGAAGTGACTGAGTCGATAAAATTTGCAACAGGCTATAATGCAAATAGGTACATAAGATATCTTCGGAAAAACAAATCTTAAACATTATTATCATTATGCACTTTGTTAAAAAAAATGTATGCAAATCAATCATAATAAATCATTTTCCATAACCATAACTAAAATGCCCCTCGCATTTCATTAACTACAGCGACCTTCAATATCTTTTGTAAAATGACATAATCATATTAAGTTGCTGTATAGACACAACATAAATGTTTCATATTTAAGTAGTTTTGTGAAGACAAATGGCACTGAATATATTACATTTTACATATATTACATTTAGTCCAAAATTATGCTCAGTATTAGATAACTGATAGAAATAGGTATTAACATATTTTTTTATAAACACACAAATATAATATATAGAAAACAGATATATTCGAGAATACCTATGTGTATAGTATGTTGAGTTCAAATCCGAAATTGTGTATTTAACCGGCTTCTAAAAGAAGAAGGATCTCAATTCGGTAGTATTTTTTCTAAGTTTGTTACTTCATAACTCCGTCAGTCCTAAACGGATTTCGAAAATTCATTTTTTTTTCATCTTATCTGAAAGGATATGCTTGCGAATTGGTCTCAAAAAATTTTATTTAGTAATCTTTAATTATTAAAGATTGTGTCCCACAAACAAAAACCGACTTCAATGTAAAGTGACGAAACCGGTTATTATGATCCAAAAACTATTGAACCGATTTTGTTTTATTTCTATGGGACCCACCTATAAGTATATCCTTTCAGATAAAAAGAAACATTTATCAAATTGCTTTAGAACTGACGGATTTATGAGGTAACAAACATAAAAAAAATACAACCTATTCTTATTTTTGAAGTCGGTCAGTCAATCAATCAATAAATTTTATTAATGACGTCTATTTATTACGTTTTTTTTATTGACATATTTTTAAATACTCAATACAATTATTATTTCAGCCGTTAACTGTCTATTGCTGAACATAAGCCATACATACCATACAGCCATACATAAGAAAGTTTTACCAGTAGTTGCCACGCTTGGCAGGCGGGTTGATAACCGCAGTTAGGCTTTTAGAGATGTTTTAAGAGGGATGCTGATGCCCATTCCTAGCTTTCCCTTAGTCGACTTTCACACCACCCACGGGAAAGGAAGAAATGACTTATTCTGTGCCGGGACCACATAACGAAAATACTCATAAATATAAATCAAATGAAAAAAATATTACATTATCTTACTTACTTACTAATATAGTAAACGTGTAACTTGACGATATCTGTACATAAGAGATATTTAAGCAAAATTTATATGAACTCCTAATAAGAACAATAGAATTCAGAACAATATATAATATCTTTTTTAGAATTTGGACTGTCTCTCTGCAAGTATATTTGTACTGGTATTAGGCAAAAACTACTGCACCAAATTGAATCTAGTTTTATGTTCTTGAAAGACTAACTTAAAATTTTGAATATATTTAATCTTGGTACGCCATCTAAAAGTAGTTAGTTAACTACTACAACTACTCTACAATCCACGCCCAAAAAGTTATGAATAAAAGGTAAATTTTACATATTGCACCTCCATAAGAGGATAATAGCGGACTATTACCACAATGGCTTGGTGTCAGGTTTTTTTTATTTGGTTTTCGACTTACTGATGTATAGTGCTTTGTTCGCTTAATTTATATAATGTCCTGGTTGTAAAAGCGTGACATGAGTGGTGAATAGTGTGTACTGGTGACACATAGCATTTTTGTCATCACTTCATAAATTACTCGTATTGTAATAAAATAAACGGACATCATTATTTAAGTACCTATTAGCATTGTTACTAGATTGACAAAGAAAGCAGGGTAATATATTGTGTGTTTATGTATAACCAAATATTCAGAGCAATTGCTTTATTTTTTATATTTATTTCAACAAGTTAAAAAATATATAATACATATTAAGAATATAAAAAATATATCCTTTACACATTGATGTGCTGTATCAGGTGGGTGTTCCTTAAAACGCTGCGAAACTTTCAGCTAACATTTTCCATCATGAGAGTCGACAAAGGGTCCGTCGGTATAAAATAATAAAATTGGCACAGAGCAAATCGTTTGTCCTGTCAATGCAGTATCGCTATGATTGCAGCAGGTGGGCTTCTTACTCTTCTTACATCTTTCCACTTTGGTGAAACCTTTTATACGAGGTTTGTCCGGAAAGTACGTATAAAAGTTTTTTAAAAATTTTATTTTACAATTATTCAGGTAAATCAATTTTATCCCCTTCAAAGTACTCCCCCTGTGACATAATGCACTTGTGCCAACGCCGTTTCCACTGTGAGAAGGCTCCTTGAAAGTCCTCTGGTTGTAGGTTTCTCAGCTGCCCCGTCGTAGCTTTTTTTATCTCATTTATGTCCCCCAAATGCCGCCCCCGAAGTACCAATTTGGTTTTTGGGAACAAGAAGAAGTCACACGGGGCCAAATCCGGCGAATAGGGGGTGTTCGGTCACCGTAATGGAATTTTTACTCAAAAACTCACGGACAACAAGAGAGGTGTGGGCAGGGGCATTGTCGTGGTGAAGAATCCAACGCCCCTCTCGCGCCAATTCTGGACGAACTCGTACCACACGACTGTCTGACCGTTAAACGACGGTCCCCATTAACACAAGTTCGAATTCTTTCCACGTTTTCGTCGGAATGTGAAGTGGAAGGACGTCCTGAACGTGGGTCATCTTGAACGCTTTCTCGGCCCTCTCTGAATCTTTTTAGCCACTTGTGGACGGTTGGTTCCTTCACAGCATCATCCCCATAAACTGTTCTGAGATCGGCAAAAATTTCACGGCCATTCTTGCCGAGTTTCGAGAGAAACTTGATTACGACGCGCTGCTCTTCAACGGAAGCGGGCTCCATGCCGACGGGGTTTCGTTAAGAGGTAACTTCACAGATGGCGTGACAAGCCAGTTCGCACCGCACGGCGATCAAACCAGAACTGAAGCATTGTTAGGGACATAAGGAAGGGGTCCTGCGCTTACCTGGCCTCCCCACTCCTCTTTCTCGCATTCCAGAACACTTTTATACGAACTTTCCGGACAGACCTCGTATCGCAGTTATCTATCCTAGTGGAAATTTGAACTAAAATACTTGGTGGCTTGTTTCTGCAAATTCGATCGCAGTTTTCCCTCTGATTTCCTACTAAAAGGTAGTTAGAGGAGCATATGCACGTATGCATAGTTTAGCGGTGGACGTTTATATTCGTGACCCACAATGATGGTACGGGGGGCGGGGCAGTAACTGCTGAACCGACACGTCAAAACTGTCGACATATGCATTTTGAACTCCAAGTCTCATGTTTTATTGGATACCTCGGGTGACCTATGTATTTACCGAATCAGCGTTGCGTAAATTAGCAACTTCGGTTTGCAGTTCCTTGATGGTAGTTATCGATACTTTCAACCTAAACTGGACTTTGGCCAGGCTTGTCTTCAATGTGGCGATATCATTTAGCAATAAATAAAATAAATAAATAGCTTAATGAAATCGACATGTTCGAATGTGACTGGAGACAGTTTGTGGAGCTGTTTCGCCACGAGTGCGGGCATGTCGTAGTATTGGTCTACTTCAGTAATGAGATATTACATCCTAAAGACTCCTCTTGCCTTTATCATCCCTCCTGCGAAATGTATTTATACATATTTATGAATAAGACATTTCATACTCTCATAATTACGATTACAACATTTCAAAATATGTAAATATGTATGTCTGCCATAAATTGTCAAAACGTTCAGTCGAATTTAGCACATCAACTTGTTGTATAATAAACTTATTGTGGGCGATATTATGGACTGTATATTGATGTATATGTTGTAATCAAACAATGGGTTTAAAAGGAAAATAACTATAATACAGAAAACTACGAAATATAGACTACGACAGCAAAGAGCAAAAGTGACAAATGGAGGAAACAAAAGTATAAAAATACAATAAAAATAAAATCTTTAAAAATAACTAAGGAGTTCGCAACATTACCGACCCCTGGTGCAGAAATGCACAAATTCGGTAGCAAGCCAGGTTAAACAAAAAAAAAATAAAAACTTAGGGGTTTAACCTGACTAACTTTTTGGAAGGTCGGCGAAGCAAACCGCCTGCTGTCGCTACGTCCACCACCCTAACAACGCCATCGTTGCCTGGGAAAGTTGCTGTGACACGTCCACGGGGCCACGTTCCTCTTGGAAGATTCTCGTCTACGATCACAACCAAATCGCCAATGTTCAAATTACGATCTCTTCGACCGTTCAGACGAGGCTGCATAGTAGGTAATATTTCTTTCACCCACCGATTCCAAAAGTGATCAGCCAGACGAAGCGCCTTCTTCCAATCCGCTCTTCGGACTAAGTCAGTATCATCTAACACTCCGGCTGTCATCTGATTGGAAGATGAACCGATCAGAAAGTGAAATGGCGTTAAAGTTTCCTCGCTATCGGATTCAACCGAGACATAAGTAAGAGGTCGTGAGTTAACAATTGCTTCGGCTTCAGTCAACAACGTAAGTAGTACCTCCTCTTTAGGTGACCTTTCATGTAGTGTAGCTTTTAATGCAACTTTCACACAGCGAATAAGTCTCTCCCAACAACCTCCAAAAAAAGGCGCAGCAGCTGGGATGAAGCTCCACTTTATGCCTCTATTGGCAGCAAAATCTGGAACCGCACATTGGTAAAATTCTCTTAATAAGCGATTGGCTCCTACAAAGTTTGTGCCATTATCGGAGTAAATTGTTTCAGGCGTGCCTCTTCTTGCTATAAATCTCCGTATGCTCATAATAGCTGAATCAGCAGAGAGGTTGTGGACAAATGGACTCTAAATGGACAGCTCTAGACGTCAGGCAAGTAAATAGCGCAACATAGCGCTTGTCATGTCTTCGACCAATAGTGACGTTAATTGGTCCGAAGTAATCCAATCCCGTGAAAGTAAATGGACGACGATGGTGAGCAAGCCGGTGTGGAGGAAGATTTCCGGTCACTGGATTCAGTGGTTTAGTTTTTCTAATGCGACAGAAGCAACATTGATAAGCCACGCTTCGTACGGTGTTGCGCAAGTGAAGTAACCAATATTGTTGTCTGATCTCATTTATAACCGTTTCGTTATTAGCATGACCTGCCTTTCTGTGGAAATATTGAACGAGTAAGCGAACAACGGGATGGTGACCATCTAAGAGTATGGGAAATCTTACATCAGTGTCAACATTTTGTACGGCCTTAATCCTACCATACAGTCGTAAAAGATTATCTTCTCCCATCATTGGCGACAATTTGCTGAGGCGACTCGATTTTGCGATTGGTTGTGATCTCGTAATGCACTGGATCTCTTCTCTAAAACTGTCTTGTTGAACACGTTGCAAGACATGTCGTTCTGCGGCTTTCATTAGTTCTGCTGTCAAAGATATTAAAGTGGTGGACGCAGAAGAATTACGATAACGAGTGTAGATAAAGTTTTTAGTGCCAGAAATAGATCGATCCAAAAGTGAACGAAATTTTGAAACAACCTGTAAAACGCGAGCAGTGACGCGAAGTAATCGGAGCCAGTCACTGAATCGAGTAAAGTCAGCAATAATTAACACATGAACAGCTAATGGATCCAACTGCTGTCTGCGTTCCTCTTGAACCATGGGCTGACCAGCTGGTTCAACAGGCCAATCTTTCGGGGAACCAAGAAGAAATGGGGGTCCCGTAAACCAACGGTGGTTTGAATTCAAATTAAGGGGTTTCGTGCGTGTGGCATCATCAGCAACGTTCAAGCTAGTTGGAACCCATCTCCAATCCTGTATACGAGAATTCTCAGAAATTTCACCGATTCGATGGGCTACAAATGGCTTGAATGAACGCGCGTCGCTTCTAAGCCAACTAAGAACAGTTAATGAATCCGTTCATAAAACTGTATGGATGGGTTTCTTTTTATGAGATTCCTTGATGGTCACAGCAAGGCGTGAAGCAATCAAAGCAGCTTGTAATTCTAACCGCGGAATTGAAGTTGGTTTTAAAGGTGAAACTCTTGTTTTACTAGCGATGAGAGCGAGCTTGACACAACCATCTGGATACAAAAATCTCCAATAAGCCACACACGCATAAGCAAGCTCGCTTGCATCTGCAAATACATGTAACTCCCTATGCAGAGGTTCACCATTTTGTTTAGCATACCAACGTGGAATTTTGATGGTTGATACATCAAAAAGTTCTTTAAACCATTCGGTCCACTTTGATACTTCTGAAGGAGAAAAGGGCGTATCCCAATCAATATTTGATCTCCACACGTCTTGGAGTAATATGCGACCTTTTCCTACAATTGGACCCAGCAAACCTAGCGGGTCATAGACTTTCATAAGGTGTGATAATACCTTACGTTTATTAAGATTGGTTCCCAAAGTAAAATTTTCCAAACCGGTCCTAAAACCTATAAGGTCTGTTGAGGGATCCCAAGAAACGCCTAATACTTTAATACTAGATGAAGTATTACCGAGTGGAACCTCCTCAGCGTGCGCGGCGCGAAGTTCCTCGGGAATTAGTCTCAACGCTTCTTTATTATTAGACAGCCAACCACGCATTTCGAAGCAAGCTTTACTATGGACAGTAACTATATCAAAAGCAAGCTGTGCGGCCTGATCCTCATTATCCAAACTACCAAGATAGTCGTCCATACGAGGTCTGTCCGGAAAGTTCGTATAAAAGTGTTCTGGAATGCGAGAAAGAGGAGTGGGGAGGCCAGGTAAGCGCAGGACCCCTTCCTTATGTCCCTAACAATGCTTCAGTTCTGGTCTGACCGCCGTGCGGTGCGAACTGGCTTGTCACGCCATCTGTGAAGTTACCTCTTAACGAAACCCCGTCGGCATGGAGCCCGCTTCCGTTGAAGAGCAGCGCGTCGTAATCAAGTTTCTCTCGAAACTCGGCAAGAATGGCCGTGAAATTTTTGCCGATCTCAGAACAGTTTATGGGGATGATGCTGTGAAGGAACCAACCATCCACAAGTGGCTAAAAAGATTCAGAGAGGGCCGAGAAAGCGTTCAAGATGACCCACGTTCAGGACGTCCTTCCACTTCACATTCCGACGAAAACGTGGAAAGAATTCGAACTTGTGTTAATGGGGACCGTCGTTTAACGGTCAGACAGGTGGCTGAAGAGCTTAATTTGGGCAAAACCGTGGTCCACGAAATTCTAAGAAACGAACTTCAAATGAAAAAAATTTGCGCCAAGATCGTTCCGTGAGTTTTTGAGTAAAAATTCCATTACGGTGACCGAACACCCCCCTATTCGCCGGATTTGGCCCCGTGTGACTTCTTCTTGTTCCCAAAAACCAAATTGGTACTTCGGGGGCGGCATTTGGGGGACATAAATGAGATAAAAAAAGCTACGACGGGGCAGCTGAGAAACCTACAACCAGAGGACTTTCAAGGAGCCTTCTCACAGTGGAAACGGCGTTGGCACAAGTGCATTATGTCACAGGGGGAGTACTTTGAAGGGGATAAAATTGATTTACCTGAATAATTGTAAAATAAAATTTTTAAAAAACTTTTATACGTACTTTCCGGACAAACCTCGTATAATGGTCATGTATAATTGCATCAACCGCTTCTGGATACCGATCTTGATAAAAAATTGCGTTTTTATTTTTGATATATAGAGCGATAAATGGACTAGAAGTAGCTCCAAAAATAACCGCACACATTCTATATTCTTTTAAAGGTGCATCTTTAATTGAATTGTAACGCCACAAGAAGCGTAAAGCATCTCTATCCTGCTCTCTAATGCGTATTTGAGGGAACATTTCTTTGATATCTGCCGTCAAAGCAATGCGACCTTCTCTAAATCTAAAAAGGATACCAACTAAATTTTCTAAAAGATCAGGTCCCTGAAGAAGAAGAGAATTCAATGAGACGCCTTGATTTGTAGCCGCTGCATCATGCACGACTCTAAGCTTACGCTTTTGTGGGTGGTAAACCCCAAAATGTGGTAAGTACAGTCTATAATTTTGCGCAGAACTATTCTTATAATGTAAGGAATCAGAGGTACTAATACGATTACAGTTATAGTAAGTAATAGGCTTACATTCCTCTGCATACTCTTTAACTATCATATTATCTATGAATTTTCTATATGCTTCAGCAAAATCACGCTCACGATTCATTCGTCTTTCCAAAGTTAAGAAACGTGACATAGCTTGTGAATAGCTATCTAGAATTTGTTTAATATTGTCACGCCAAGGAAGACCTACCTCAAATCTGCCAGTCGGTAATCGTTTGGCAGTAAATTCTAAAATCTCTAAGGCGCGTAAATCCTGTTTGCTATGTAATGTTTCACGTTTAGAAATACCTAATGAGTCTATTTTATATTGCTCTTTAACAAGGAGCTCTAATCGTTCATCGTCAGAAATATCTGTTTTATCTAAAAATTGACAATGATTAATAAATTCAATAGGTTTAGTTTTACTACAACTTATTCCATATAATGTCCAACCTAACAAAGTACGACAAGCCACAGGTTCATTGCGTTTTCCTATACGAACTTCACGAGTTATTGACAAATGCCAATCTTCGGCACCGATAAGTACGGTCGGTGTAGCATTATTATATGTCAAGAAATCAGCTAAATCACATAAATGACTATAAGATGTCAAAGTCTCTTTTGACAAGGATTGCGCATGTAAACTAATTGACATCATAGCTCTGGCTCGTTTTACTAAATAAATGTCAGACATAAACTTGCCTTTTATATGGAAATCTACGTAATTTATAGTAGTGTTCTTATGTAGACCACCTATGCCATTAACAGTAATAGGTTCCTGAGGACCCGATAATCCAATTTGAGTGGCAACGCTAGCATCAATCAATGTAGCCGTGCTACCATCGTCTAGCAAAGCGTATGTGTCTAAGCTACCAGTTGGACCGAAAATAGTAATAGGTAATACTTTTAATAAAACATTAGAAGTTGAAGGAGAATGTTCAGTTTGCCATACGCCGGTATTACTAATAATAACCTTATCCTCCAAAGGTGCAGTGGTAGAAGGTGAGGATACATCTTGAGTCGCAGTGGCACACACTGTGTCATTTATGTGCAGTGTATCAGGTGCAGGTGGTGATATTGACGTATCCTGTCTACCATGAAGTAGAGGATGATGCCGAAAGGAGCAGCCATTAATACCACAAGGATTTACCTTACACGTCTTCCATAGATGTGAAGAGCGACGTAGACATCTGTAGCAAACCTTGAACTCTCGCAACCAACTCCATCGTTCATCGACTGACAAGATTTTGAATTCCTCACAAGATGTAATGTTGTGATTCTTTTTACAATAAACACATCCTATCTTAGAATTTGTTTTAATTTTAGATTGAGAAGTAGAATGAATAATTTCACGTCTGAATTGTTTATTAGCAACTTGACCTACGTGCAATTGTTGTGTTGCTAAAGAGAGAGCCAATTCAGGAGATAAAGCGAAGTTAGTATGACGCTCGTGTTCACGCGTCAAAAATTGTGACAAAACTTCTAGCTTAGAAAGGTGTGGGTTCGACCTACTAAATTCTGATGCATAATCACTCCATCTCATTTTAGTGTTAGGGTTCAATTTTCCTAAAATGACATGAAATAATTCTGGTGAATGTAAATATTCACTATGATTGAGTAGTTTTATAGTAGAAAGACTATTCCGTACCTTATTAGCAATAGTACTTAACTCTTTAAGATCGTTACCTAATCGAGGTAGCGACTTCAATAATTGTACCTCACTGAAGACAATCATTTCTGGTGACGCAAAACTTCGTTCGAGTGCGCACATGATCTCTTCTGGATCCTCTATTCACAAGCTATGTCACGTTTCTTAACTTTGGAAAGACGAATGAATCGTGAGCGTGATTTTGCTGAAGCATATAGAAAATTCATAGATAATATGATAGTTAAAGAGTATGCAGAGGAATGTAAGCCTATTACTTACTATAACTGTAATCGTATTAGTACCTCTGATTCCTTACATTATAAGAATAGTTCTGCGCAAAATTATAGACTGTACTTACCACATTTTGGGGTTTACCACCCACAAAAGCGTAAGCTTAGAGTCGTGCATGATGCAGCGGCTACAAATCAAGGCGTCTCATTGAATTCTCTTCTTCTTCAGGGACCTGATCTTTTAGAAAATTTAGTTGGTATCCTTTTTAGATTTAGAGAAGGTCGCATTGCTTTGACGGCAGATATCAAAGAAATGTTCCCTCAAATACGCATTAGAGAGCAGGATAGAGATGCTTTACGCTTCTTGTGGCGTTACAATTCAATTAAAGATGCACCTTTAAAAGAATATAGAATGTGTGCGGTTATTTTTGGAGCTACTTCTAGTCCATTTATCGCTCTATATATCAAAAATAAAAACGCAATTTTTTATCAAGATCGGTATCCAGAAGCGGTTGATGCAATTATACATGACCATTATATGGACGACTATCTTGGTAGTTTGGATAATGAGGATCAGGCCGCACAGCTTGCTTTTGATATAGTTACTGTCCATAGTAAAGCTTGCTTCGAAATGCGTGGTTGGCTGTCTAATAATAAAGAAGCGTTGAGACTAATTCCCGAGGAACTTCGCGCCGCGCACGCTGAGGAGGTTCCACTCGGTAATACTTCATCTAGTATTAAAGTATTAGGCGTTTCTTGGGATCCCTCAACAGACCTTATAGGTTTTAGGACCGGTTTGGAAAATTTTACTTTGGGAACCAATCTTAATAAACGTAAGGTATTATCACACCTTATGAAAGTCTATGACCCGCTAGGTTTGCTGGGTCCAATTGTAGGAAAAGGTCGCATATTACTCCAAGACGTGTGGAGATCAAATATTGATTGGGATACGCCCTTTTCTCCTTCAGAAGTATCAAAGTGGACCGAATGGTTTAAAGAACTTTTGATGTATCAACCATCAAAATTCCACGTTGGTATGCTAAACAAAATGGTGAACCTCTGCATAGGGAGTTACATGTATTTGCAGATGCAAGCGAGCTTGCTTATGCGTGTGTGGCTTATTGGAGATTTTTGTATCCAGATGGTTGTGTCAAGCTCGCTCTCATCGCTAGTAAAACAAGAGTTTCACCTTTAAAACCAACTTCAATTCCGCGGTTAGAATTACAAGCTGCTTTGATTGCTTCACGCCTTGCTGTGACCATCAAGGAATCTCATAAAAAGAAACCCATCCATACAGTTTTATGAACGGATTCATTAACTGTTCTTAGTTGGCTTAGAAGCGACGCGCGTTCATTCAAGCCATTTGTAGCCCATCGAATCGGTGAAATTTCTGAGAATTCTCGTATACAGGATTGGAGATGGGTTCCAACTAGCTTGAACGTTGCTGATGATGCCACACGCACGAAACCCCTTAATTTGAATTCAAACCACCGTTGGTTTACGGGACCCCCATTTCTTCTTGGTTCCCCGAAAGATTGGCCTGTTGAACCAGCTGGTCAGCCCATGGTTCAAGAGGAACGCAGACAGCAGTTGGATCCATTAGCTGTTCATGTGTTAATTATTGCTGACTTTACTCGATTCAGTGACTGGCTCCGATTACTTCGCGTCACTGCTCGCGTTTTACAGGTTGTTTCAAAATTTCGTTCACTTTTGGATCGATCTATTTCTGGCACTAAAAACTTTATCTACACTCGTTATCGTAATTCTTCTGCGTCCACCACTTTAATATCTTTGACAGCAGAACTAATGAAAGCCGCAGAACGACATGTCTTGCAACGTGTTCAACAAGACAGTTTTAGAGAAGAGATCCAGTGCATTACGAGATCACAACCAATCGCAAAATCGAGTCGCCTCAGCAAATTGTCGCCAATGATGGGAGAAGATAATCTTTTACGACTGTATGGTAGGATTAAGGCCGTACAAAATGTTGACACTGATGTAAGATTTCCCATACTCTTAGATGGTCACCATCCCGTTGTTCGCTTACTCGTTCAATATTTCCACAGAAAGGCAGGTCATGCTAATAACGAAACGGTTATAAATGAGATCAGACAACAATATTGGTTACTTCACTTGCGCAACACCGTACGAAGCGTGGCTTATCAATGTTGCTTCTGTCGCATTAGAAAAACTAAACCACTGAATCCAGTGACCGGAAATCTTCCTCCACACCGGCTTGCTCACCATCGTCGTCCATTTACTTTCACGGGATTGGATTACTTCGGACCAATTAACGTCACTATTGGTCGAAGACATGACAAGCGCTATGTTGCGCTATTTACTTGCCTGACGTCTAGAGCTGTCCATTTAGAGTCCATTTGTCCACAACCTCTCTGCTGATTCAGCTATTATGAGCATACGGAGATTTATAGCAAGAAGAGGCACGCCTGAAACAATTTACTCCGATAATGGCACAAACTTTGTAGGAGCCAATCGCTTATTAAGAGAATTTTACCAATGTGCGGTTCCAGATTTTGCTGCCAATAGAGGCATAAAGTGGAGCTTCATCCCAGCTGCTGCGCCTTTTTTTGGAGGTTGTTGGGAGAGACTTATTCGCTGTGTGAAAGTTGCATTAAAAGCTACACTACATGAAAGGTCACCTAAAGAGGAGGTACTACTTACGTTGTTGACTGAAGCCGAAGCAATTGTTAACTCACGACCTCTTACTTATGTCTCGGTTGAATCCGATAGCGAGGAAACTTTAACGCCATTTCACTTTCTGATCGGTTCATCTTCCAATCAGATGACAGCCGGAGTGTTAGATGATACTGACTTAGTCCGAAGAGCGGATTGGAAGAAGGCGCTTCGTCTGGCTGATCACTTTTGGAATCGGTGGGTGAAAGAAATATTACCTACTATGCAGCCTCGTCTGAACGGTCGAAGAGATCGTAATTTGAACATTGGCGATTTGGTTGTGATCGTAGACGAGAATCTTCCAAGAGGAACGTGGCCCCGTGGACGTGTCACAGCAACTTTCCCAGGCAACGATGGCGTTGTTAGGGTGGTGGACGTAGCGACAGCAGGCGGTTTGCTTCGCCGACCTTCCAAAAAGTTAGTCAGGTTAAACCCCTAAGTTTTTTTTTTTTTTTTGTTTAACCTGGCTTGCTACCGAATTTGTGCATTTCTGCACCAGGGGTCGGTAATGTTGCGAACTCCTTAGTTATTTTTAAAGATTTTATTTTTATTGTATTTTTATACTTTTGTTTCCTCCATTGTCACTTTTGCTCTTTGCTGTCGTAGTCTATATTTCGTAGTTTTCTGTATTATAGTTATTTTCCTTTTAAACCCATTGTTTGATTACAACATATACATCAATATACAGTCCATAATATCGCCCATATTTTTGTAATCAAACAATGGGTTTAAAAGGAAAATAACTATAATACAGAAAACTACGAAAAATAGACTACGACAGCAAAGAGCAAAAGTGACAAAAAGAGGAAACAAAAGTATAAAAATACAATAAAAATAAAATCTTTAAAAATAACTAAGGAGTTCGCAACACTTATAATAAAAATAAATTATAGGTAAGTAAATAATCTATTGCCAGTCCATGCCTATGATAATTTTATTTTATATTATCGTTATTTGGTCTCCTAGCAAATGTTAATTAAAGCAATAATTAGATGTGGTACCTATTCACATTTAATACCTCGGTATTTGTTGTAGATTAGCCATACTAAGTATTCATACATAAAGTAATAATACTATAGCATTATAGATAGATTATTATAGTAAGACGCTGTATATATCTATGTGATTATACATATAGAGCGAACTACAATAAAATATTGACGAGGTTTTGATATGCGTCGGATATCGCTTATTGACGCATCTATAAATATCTAATGACAGAACCTCGAGGCCGCCTGTTAGGTCCCCTTAAAAGTCACTTATCTACTTTATGCACTTGTTTTGTTTCTAGCTCCCCTACTGACGTCAAACAATAATGCTAGATACGAATATAGATAACATCTCAGACAAACATTACTCCTTAAAGTAGCGACATTTAAGAATTATTATGGCTTTTTCACAGGCTCCCTCTATCAAATAAATCTACTCAAAAACCATTTTTGTTCGTCATTACAAAATTAGTAAAATTAGTTTTGAAACAATCCTGGCCCTTAAAAGCAATCGTGATTAATTGCCGATGAATCAGTAATGACAAGACAACTGATCAGTGGTCTACCATAAAATGAAAATCCAAATTTTCGGACTCAATTTCGTCTTTTTATTTATACCAAAATCGGACCAATAAATTGATTTTTTTTGATTGATTGAGTAATAAATTGATTGATTGATTGAGTTTAACATTTCGTTCGTCATACATCCTATCATAAAAGTCCAAAGGAACGATATTTTAACATTTTTAATATTTCCAAACGGCATGTATTATATAATTTTAACATCAAAATTGTGTTTTGTTTGGTTCCGAAATTTCGGAAAACATTTCATGGTAGGCCCTCATATTTCTATTAATGATACGTAACATCCCTTCTCGCATACGCCTGACAAAAATAGTAATTAAGGCGAGGTCACCATTTCTACAAACGTCATTTATCTATAGATACGTTTTCGCTAACATATACACAGGATAGCAGACATCAACTTTCTGCAACTTGCTTTCATGTGCGATTCCTCAATTAATGCACCTGTCGTTTGCTTTTTGTCTGGAGGACCTGGTATGGCACATCGCGGCAAACTAACGAGATTACACGTTGAATTGTACAGTATCGCATAGGACTGCGGATTCAGACTTGGAGGGTCAGCTTTTTTTTAAATTATATACACACATCAAAACTATCTAGAGATCAAATACGTTTTAGAGTATGCTGCAATTAAGGATTATTATTTTAACTTTTTTGGATCGTTACTGATTCTTTTTAATGAATTTCACTATTAGAATAAAGTTTTTTTTTTTTTTATTTTAATTAAAAATAGAAAAACAACTGTTGATCAGGATTCCTGAAAAGTATTAAGTGTATATAGCATTTTTAGAAAACCATTACAATTTTTCCATCGGAACTGAAAAAAATTGCACCGATATGGAGCAACGACAACAGAGAAGAAAAGAGGATAAGAGCCGTCGGAATGTTGCAAGTTGGTTCCAGACAACGTACTATGCTTTGCTATTTGATTTGATTGCTACGTTATCGCTTTTGGTACTACACAGAGCATCATAAGCTGTCTCTGGACACGCTATCATTATGACAGGCAGCGTAGCTGAGCGATATGAAAAACAATCTCATAACACCACCTACAGACAGGACCAGTATAGCCAAAATACTGCTTGACGGATTCGTGCCGTGCCTACCACGATAATGGTTACGAGGTTCCACAGCTCTTCAGGCTTGCTGATAAATGACAAAACCATTCGAAATCGTTAACGTGAAAAGGGTCGGCATTTTTGAAGGCCACTGACAGTTCCACCTACAGCGTCTTGTAATCATAGGACCCGTTTACAATGAGCTCGCGATCATAGAAATTAGGAGGATGAAGACTGGCTTTGTTTGCTTTTCTGATGAATCTTCTTTCGGCTGAGGCTGGATACAAGACGTACTCGAGTTTGTCCTCCAAACTCTAGACGTCAAAAAGTTCTACCGTGGCTTACTAGTCCTCAACCCAATTAAACACGCATGGGATATGCTTAAAAAAAGAACTCTGCAGAGTATGAACACCTTGCTTTCTCCATAATAACTATTTGTCTTATTAGAAAGAACATGAGCGACCATTTCTTAATGATTATGATTAATTGTTTTTAAGCATGCCAAGTCCCTGTAATCGTGTAATTCGTATCAATGATGGAAACACAGATTATTATTTTTTTATCTTTACAATAAAAATACATCGAATGTACTTTTGATGTGTCTACTTATTCAATTTGATGAGTGTTCAATTTCGCTGGTAGTACACTTTCTTCAAAGTATTCAAAGCGCCTATGCAAACGATTTCGCTTTCGTTCTTTATATTCACTATTTATTTACAGTGATACTGAACATCAACTATAGTATGCTTCTTAAAAACAGCATACAGCAGCATCAGATGAATATTAATTACTATAGCTGCTGTTTCTTAGAAACCATTGTATTAAATGGTAGTGAAAGTAAACATTTTAGTTCTCATATAAATGTATTGGTAGTTTGGTAATAAACGTATTTTGTAATCAATTTTTACCTATAATAATAAATTATATAAACAGAAATAAGAAAAAAAACAAGTTTATTAATCTATAAGAGCAGAATAGTAATCTCGTCTGCGCTATTGGATTAAGCTAGTGGAGCATTGATGAGAAATGATTCGTTAGGATGACACCAGGTCAGTTGGACTATCGTGAAAAATTCAACAGGAACTAATAACGATAGTTTCCAAAGACCGCATGCAAATCAATCTGATAGGCCACTAGGCCCCATTACTAACAATTCCCTCCCCCGCGCTGTAAGCTTCTTTCCTTGCCATATATTTAAATACTATTTTCAAAATAAGCAATTACTAATGTAGAATATCTAAAATGTAACACAATATACTAAATATTTTTATTTAATAGACTAAAATAACATATGTTAATCACTCGTGTCAAAGATTTACACAAAAATATGAATGTTCATTCTATACACAGACTAAACGATCTGGTATGGAATAAATGTAAACTAATATTGTAACGGGGAATTATATAGAAAGAAAAAATAAAAACAAAAAATCGTCATTTTATTATAAAAGAAAATAATTTTATCAGTCATTATTTTTTACAAACTTAAATCTTACGAAATATTAAGCATTTATAACAATAAAAATAGCAACAACATAAATTCATATTTTATATTATAATACACTCTTATTTATAACAAGTATTGCAAAATTTATCTATATAAATCAAATAATCTAAATACTAATTACTTAAAAAATGTATTATTGTAAATTACAATAAAAACCAAATTATCTTTTTTTTATCAAATAAATAAAAATCCATCAATTTAATTTTACAGACTATCGGCACAGGGGAAATAATATAAACTTCAGATCATTAAGCGCTTACTGCATTTTTTACTATTGATATAATTATAGTCTTAATCATTTACAAATTCGGGTTTTTTTCCATGATACAATAGAGTTTTATTTGATCTCCCTATTCGTATCATATGCCCTTTATTTTTAACGAATCGAAATACACTTAGTCCCTTATTCATAAAAACCAAAACTTACTACAAATCTGCTTTAACTATTACACTGTTTTGTCACTTTCTTTCAAAGTGAGAATTTAGCACAAAAGAAAAAGAAAAAATTCAATAGCTAAAATATGTTCATAAGACATTTGATGTTTTTATGAATAAGTGTGTTAAACTATAAAAAAAGAAGGAAGAGCTTACATCTAGAAGTATGTAGTAAGTAATTCTTAATATAAACTGCCCACAATACTATGCTATCCATAAAACGAAAAACTGTTATAAGAGAAAATGACACCTTCCATGAATGCTTATTTATACAAAATATTATGTAATTGTAAATAAATCGATGTTTTATCAAAACTAGAAGTATATGAGCACCTCTGTTATAACACAAAGGCATCTTTCTCTAAAAATTATAACTATGTATTTTGGCATTCTACACGTATTCTTATAAAAGAATAACTAAAGTAACTAAGAAATGACATAAAATTAACCATGAGGAACCACAAACGCCATTGACTTTTAATTTCTTTTACTACCATACCTTCCTTTTTCTACACTCAAGAAATTAATAAATCAACGTTCAAATATCTAATAAGTAAGAAAATAAAAATATATTATCCAGCTGCCATATGTTAGTTACGGAACTCTTAAAGTCTTGGATCAGATCGATAAAGATGAGATTAGCAATGACATAATTAAACAAATAAATAAAAGAAAAAATATTTGTCATTTACGAATTTCAATAATTTATAAATTACTTGTAGAAATAGTACATTACTGCAGTGGCCAGCAACTGAGGCATTGATGGACGAACGTGCAAATGTGAACACACATACTGATATCAATGCCACAGTTGCTGGACGCTGCAGTAATGTACTATTAAAAAAATAATACCATAGAATTAAATTTTAATTTTATCGTTTGAATATGCTTTATATAATTTCTCTCTATAAGTGGAGTTTGTGTCTAAAGTATTTTTAAATTTATGAAAATTAAAATCTTTTAGGATAAGCATCTCATCGTCATCAAAATATAAGAAATCAAACAGATGTTAATTTTTATCGAAAAAATATTGGATTTGAAGAAATCGATCTGAATGTCGATGTTCTCTGTTGATCTGAAATACAACTGACATGCGAATATTGACATGGATGTGTGATGTGACAAGAATGGATAAGACAAAGAATGTAGGAAGGAAGTTTGAAAGTAGTGCCAGTATTCGAGAAGTTAAGAAGTAATTTTTGCAGTTGTATGGGCATATGATGCGGAAGGAAGAAGATAATGTAGTAAGAAAGGTATACGTATATATAAAGGTAAGGTAAAGAATGTGAGTGCTTATAAGTAAGACAGAGAAATAAAGAAATGAGTGGACCGTGAAAGAAAAGATACCATGGCCAGAAAGGAAGCGACTAAGTAGATGACTGCAAATAGAGATAAATGGAAAAACAAATATCACGCTGACCCCAAATAGATATAGGAAAAGAGCAAGAAAATATTTGACAATACTGTAAGATGAGTAAAACAAAATACCCTACAGTAGAGAATTTTAAACATCAAATGTAAGTCTGGTTAAATCTGAAGAATATTTTATTCATATTGTGTATCAATTTACTTGATTCATTTTCCAATATTGCCTCAATATAGTTCATATACACAAAGTACCTAATAAACAGAAAATAAAGCAAGCCTCACAGATCTACATATAAACTTTATCAGATTACAAAAAATATGTATCAATTGATACATTAATAATATCAAAAAATCTTATAAGATTTATCTAAAAGTTCATATGTTAAAACTTTAAGCAGTTCTCAGTATAATATGATACCCAGAGCTAGTTTCAACAGGTTGGCTTAACTGGCCTACCCTTAACTTGAAAGCTACATCTTCAAAAGGCTTCTGCATGCGTCCTCTCTTGAAACGTCCAAGGTCACCATTACGTTTTGCAGATGAACAATCTGAATAAATCTTTGCTAATTCTTCAAGTGAAGTTTCCTTGCTTACAATTTTTTGGCGAAACCCTGAAAGTAAATTATATAAAAAATTACATTCAGTTTATTCCTATTCTATTTTAACTAAAATAAAAAAAAAATGTGCTACTAATATGATAAAGTTAATTGTTAACAACATCTATACATAGGATTTATTTAAAAAATATATATATATATATATAAGGGTTCTTAATAACAGCAATAATTTAATTATTGCTGTTATTAAACAATAAACAATAATGTTAATAATAAAATAAATAAATAATACATAAATATAATATTGCACATATTTTTTTTTTTAATGGGTTAAAATGGTATGGTAACCCTGGCCTGCGCTAACGGGATACGCTGGCGGAGCACCAGTGAAGGGTGATAGATGAGAATGAAAACAGGCCAGTTAGCCCATCATGATGAATTCATCAGGAATTAACCATGATAGTTTCCAGGGAGAAACGCGAGGAAGTCGACCTGGTTGGGTATACTGCTAGCAATAGGATTCTCAATCTCCATTACTAACTTTCCCCCCCATATTGCACATATTGACATTATACAATTGAAAATGATAGGTATATTATATGTATAATAGGCTAATTAAAAATCTATCCTATTACTGAATGTGAGCTTGACTTTCTAAATTTGACTAGTAATTACCTTTCAATGCCTCTAAAGCTTCTTCTTTGCTTCGAGTAATGGTATCTTCGCGCCATGAAGATGGTCTACGACTATCAGTATGTTTCACTAGCAAGTGTGAACATCGCACTTCTTCTGGTGCACCATTGGAATCATCATCATCATTAAGGCTTGCTGGCCGCTCTGGTTTTTCCCACTGAGATCTTCTTGTGTGTTTATTTAAATAGTATGTCATGCCTACAAAAGTAGATAATTTAATTAGCTACAATTACTAATTACACACTTCAATTATTATTATTTTATTCAAGTGCCTTCAACAGACAGACATACAATTCACTTGCTGCAATAAAATTGTCAAAGCATATTATCAATATGACTACACTACAACTTTGTTTGCCCTTTGATAAATAAGGTATCTTAACTAAACTATAAAGTTTGACTAGACTGAAATACAAACAAGTTAGACATTATTTTAAATTTGAAATGGCAACTCAATTTATTATATTAATAAATTAACTGCACACAAAATCCATGAATGTCATTTAATATTAAGGAATAATACCAAAAATACTGCATTTTAGAATTTTATTAACCTTAAACACAATATAAGTAATAGTACTAAAGTGTGTTAGGTTGTACTCCAATAATATAATAACATTCTTTTTATTTCCTTATCTTTATTTTACTATACTCATGAGTCTATAAAGTATATATACAATATTTGTGTTAGTAAGTTACATAGATGCATGAAGTTAGTACTCAGTATTTAAAGTTATTATTTTAATTTTAATTTGCTGGATTCCTATTGGTATGGACTTCTTCCAGTTTCTTCATTCCAATCTTGTCTATCCTGTGCTCAAATGATCCAGTTTCTCCTGATATTTCTTTAATGGCATCTATCTACAATTTTTTGGCTTCCATGGTCTTTCGTCAAGTTTTGAATGTCAATCGGTTATCCTTATGACTTTTATTTCCTTCCTTATAATGCCACTGTTTACCGCTGTATGATCTTAGTATAGAATAGCTCACCCCCTCCTTTTTCATGGGTGTCATAAGAAAGTAAGAGAATTTAATGGTCAAAGAATAAACAGCATCATTCCTCTTAAAACAACACCAAAGCCTAACTATGGTGTCAACCCACCTGCCAAGCATGGAACTACTGGCAAACTCCCTAAAAGGCAAATATTAGAAAAAAATAGCCCTCAGTCCTTTGGCTCACAACCGTTCCTCATAGTAGTCTGTGGAGGAGATCTATATTCAATAATGGCTATATCAGCCATAAACTGTCCACTGTTAAATGATGAAGGCTACTTATTTTTTGTATTTTTTTTTTATATTTAAGCTCTTTAAAGCTTGCAGACATGCTCTGAATTTTAATTTACTTTTGTGATTATAAGTTTTTTTTTTTTTTTTTTTATAAAACTTAGAATGGCAAACAAGCTGACGGCCCACCTGATGGAAAGTGGTAACCGTCGCCTATAGACATATCCCACCCTTCAAACCGAAACACGGTTGAAACACGAATGGGACAGAGGTACCCAAGCAATCGACTTTTGTACAAAGTCTCCCTCTGTCCATAATTGACACTCATCAGTTATATACATATATATATATATATATATTCAGTTTCATATGTATTAGGTCAAGGTTTAGGTAGAGTGTACGGTCCCTTAATCACCTTTTACGACACCTATGGATAAGGAAATGATTCTATGTTAGGACTACATGGCAGAATTTTGATGATTTCTTTATATTTTTCTATAAAATGATCTAGCAATTAAATTTCTAAACAATCCATTGTTGAAAAATTAAATCAGAACCAGATCCATTCAACAGAATTACCTCAACCAGTGGATCACATTTTATCTTTTGCAGGATAGTATGCTAAGAGGCCTACAGTTGCCTGTATCTCTAGGTAACATTTTTCTCTACTGACTTAATTTCTGTGTCTACATTTGTACAAATTTTGGTTGTCATGTAATCTTCTGTAGAAATGTGTCCTTCTGTTTAAGATATATTGCCTACTAACTTTTTTATGCCATTGTTAAAACTTTGAATTCAATTCTTGTGTTTAGTTCCTTGAGGGCACTTCTGTAGCTTCAATAGTTGTTTAAAATTATTTGTAATAAGTGTTGTTTCAGAAGTTTTGATAGTCTGACTTGATAGCGCCGGGTGGCTATTTTAAATAGCGTACTTAGCTCTTATTTCATTCCCTTGTTTTATTTCTACAATTGATAACTTGCCGATGTCTTTTTATTAGATTTCTGGATTCTAGATTTAATATATAATTATATTTACACTAAATCGCAATTAAATGCGAAAGGACATAAAAGCTTACCTGTACTTCGACTTTTTCTTGCCTGCCATCCTTCAGGCAGGCTATCTTCATGATTGGAAGACGGTGAAGCCATCTAAGCTTTATACAGAAATCTTATAATAGAATTCACAAAATATTTGAAAACTATTTAACAAAGTTCAATTTAAACAAACACTGAATCTACAAAATCAGTAAATTAATAGCAAAAATAAAATTCCTAATAATGAAATATTATTTCTTAAATTAAGTATCAAATACCTATTATTTCAAAGAAAGGAAAAGAAACTTATTAAAAGTACTAGGCACCTATTTGTGTTAAATAGAAACAAATATTAAACAGTCTATACCTATATAACAGGTAGGATTTTTAAGTACCTACAGGTAACATCATATACCTTCCATGTGTTGTATCATGTTGTATATTATAAAATCTTAATTAATATTATCAATCTTTAATCGATTTATTTGAAAATCGATTGATTTAACAATAGATTATCTACGTGTATGGATTTAATATTGATGAATGCTTCATGAGACAATTTTTTAAGACAGATACTTATGAAATTAATAAAAAATAAAATGTTCGAGATTGACCTATCCGAATCTTTATTATTAATTACTTTCTACTATTTTCCTTTTAATTAAATGTCAACACTCACATAAAACTATCGATTTAAATTTTTCATCAATCGAAGACATAGATCTAGCATAGTACCTGCGGTTCTATCTTTGTTTTACTGATTCTAATATAATCTCGATTATGACATGTCTAACTTGGTAATGTAAAAGAAAGAAAATATGTACACACGTATGTTGAAGCGAGATAGACAATACAACAATAATTTGTACAACATAGACTTGAAAATGATTTCGCGGGACTATAAATACAATAAATAATTGTTTTCGTTTTGAAGTGGAATTTGATTTAAGTGAATGTAATATTTTATTAAGGTTAAAATTAAATTGCTGCATCTGGGTGGTAAATAATAATTTTGTCTGTTTAAAAATTGTCACAATATTGTACACTGACGTATCTGCTGACATTGATACTCCTTTCCACTTTGAGTTTGCTGGAAGAAAACTCTATCAGAGCCCGCCTTTGTACTTTAGATTACCTCTGTCATATTCTTATAACTAGTGTGTTATAATTAAATAATAATAAAAAAAAAAGAACAAAAAAAAAATACTTTTTATCAATTTTATTATTACCATAACGAAATATAAATATCAATAATTTCATATTATCGACAGCATCAATCAATACCTTTTTAATTTATAAAGCAATAGATAAAATTATTTTGAGATGGAAGTGGGCCCGTTAAAATTGATGTGGACATAGCGTAAAAGGCCAGACGAAGTGTCGAAATTACCTAATGGTGTATGATAGTAGCGATTTATTTTACTGCGCTGATAAGGAATACAATTCCAAACCCAAGCCTAACAATCCTTTTTCATACCCGGCCAGACAAAAGGATCAGTCACCATGCGCATGATTACTCGCGCACCAGGAAGACTGAATATGTGTAATTTGTTGAAATGTAGCCGTCGAAAAGGCGAGGTGAGAAATGGACGTGTATTCCGATATTTTTTTTATAAATGATAATAGAATGGAAACTCTGCCTGCTCTAACTGTATGCACTGGCAGGGCACGAGTGAGGGATGATAAGGGAGAATGAAGCAGTTTAGTTAACTCATTGTGACGAAATAAATCAATCACAATGGTTTCCAGAAGGAACCGCGTGGAGGTCAACCTAATATGGTATATTGCTTGTAATGGGGCTAATGGCCGAGAGTGTTGCCGATGATATCAATGGCGAAACTTTTGTGGCTGGCTGGATCGCACGATTTGATGTACCCGAAATCGTCATTTCAACTCAATTCGTTAAGCTTTGTGGTTTATCACGTGTGCGGACAACCAGTTACCATCTGCAAGCGAAGGGCATGGTGGAACGCCTCTACCGACAGCTGAAGACCGCACTGATTTGTCACCGTGACGATTGGTTAAACTCTCTTCCTTTAGTGCTGTTAGGTATTCGATCAGCATTAAAAGAGGGCATTGACGCACCAGTTGCTGAAATAGTGTATAGAGGACCCCTCATCTTCCTGGAAAGTTTATCACCTGTGGGCCAGCTTCCCAGGAGATTAAGGATTCTTTCAATTTTGTACATAGATTTTGTAAACCCATGAAAAACATTAGATTCATTTCAGCATCTTATCATTCTTTACTTGGTACATTTATTCATAAAGATTTGCTCGACGCTACTCTTGTCTTCTTAAGAGATGGTAACATTAGACGATCGCTATAATCACAATATTCCGGATCGTATAGCATTTTGGCCCAAAACAACAAAAGTGTAACTCTCTGCATTCATGGTAAGAACGTCACTGTGAGCCTTGACCGCGTGAAGCCATTTAGAATTGGGTGCTACTCAACATGGGCATCCTTTACGCGGCCAATCTTCATGACTCATTTTCCACATCCCGTTCCTATACTTCCTTTATTAATCTCACAAGCTACTGGGTCGATCACCAGATCGGGAAGAAAGGTTTGTTTTAGAGATAGATTTGACCTACGAGTCTTACTTTCTACGCGGGGGGATGGTGTGGCGTATTACTGACAATCATAATATGCCTATTATATTTATCTTTTGTTTTACATTTCTGTCATTTTTAGTCTTTATGTTTTCATACCGATGAAGATGAGATAAAAGAGAACTACAATATCAAGGTATTATTTACCCGATCCTCTTAAACATGATTTCTAGAATAATTAAAAAATTATATAATTATAGTAGAGTTTTGTGGTGGTCGTCATATACGATGTTCAAATATTTAAAATAGTTTACAAAAAATAATCCTGTGTCGAGCGTCATCTATAAGATATTAAGAATAATGTAATATTCACTTTCTCTGTGAATTGATTTTCATTTGCTCAAATTATGTTTTAGTAAATAGGTGCTTTAAGTATGGATGTAAGTGCCAGTGCTGCTAGATTAGGTGACTTTCACCTTTTAAGCTATTTTGTAGGATGTCAGGGTGACCGAAAATTGAGAACGTCGGTCAGTCACCAATTAGTTTATATAGAAAAGAAAAAAAATCGGCAATTTTAGAATACAAAAAATATTTTTAGTGGTTTTTGAGCTACATTACTATTAAAAAATTTGGCCAATTTTAGCCTAATTGGGGTTCCAAATTTTGGCGAATTTTGGTACCATTTATCTGGTTACACTGAGAATTTGGATTATTGTTATTAGTGTGACAACACTGTATTACCTTTCCGACTTTTCTCCATGAGCAAATGGACAGATAAATCTGATATAAAATTTAATTCATCTTTATTATTTTAAAAATTATTTGTTGTTAGTATGTTTTATAGTGTGTGGAGTGTATTAATACATATTTTACAGTGAGTTAAATAATAAGGGCTTGTACACAGGTACGCATCACATCATCTATCGTGCAGGGGCGTACGTCTTTTTGTGTTAAAATGATTGAGTTTACCATAAAGACTTTGGATTCTAATAATCACCACTTTTCCGTGGATGATGAGGTTAGTAGAATTATTTATATTTTAATACATATAAAATTATTAAATACTTAGCGTGACCTTTTTATGGAATTTGTGTATCTACTTACGTACAAACGTTTAATACTTTTGGTGTGCAATCACAAATATAAAATTTTAAGGCTACTTTCCTAATGTAAGTCTTATATATTTTGCTACATAACCCTTATTTTGACTAGTTTTAATATTTCACCAAGTGCTTTGTTATAAGAAAATGCCATACTATTTGTTTTCTTGTCATATAGGTACGACATCTAGTATCTATGATTCATAGAATCAATAATCAACCTAATATTTTTCTTAGCGATAGTTTTCAATAGTATCTTAATAAACTTATACTTGATTACTCTGAAGATGGGAAAGAGTTACATTAAAGGGAATTATTGTTTCTTATGAATTGTTTATGGCATTGAAATGCTTATTTGCTAGCTGCGAAATCTGAATACTTCGTTATTATTTTCTAATTATTATGTACTACATGGATAAATGTTATAAATGTGGTAAGATCCTAAATATAATAGAGCATTATAAAGCTATTTTTTAATTAATAGCAGCTTCATTATTCTGTGCTATTTTTTAAGCAAATATTAAGAACATTAGATAATGTTAACAATTAATATAAATAATATTATTTAAGATAAATGCAAACGTTTGTTTGTTTGTTATGCTTTTGCACCTAAACTGCTAAATTGACTATGATATTTTTGGTAAATATAGAGTTAGATGTGACACTGGAGATGGAAATAGGCTAATAACACCTACAATATAACCTCTTACAAGTTTTGCGAATAACTTGTAAGGGGTTGGGTGAGCGAAGGTAGTTTTTGTATGAAACTTTATTGTTTTGTCTAATTTGCTTCAAACTTTGCAGAATTATTGTTTATAATTCATAATAAGTGTACATATTTATTTTTTCTCAAAGTACTTGATAAAAGGGGGTGAATTTTATTTATAACTATTTTACCTCTACAACTAGAATTGTTGAATAAAATTAATATTAAATTGGGCGAAGCTATGGGTAAAATTTAGTAATAATATATTTCATTGTTATTTTTTTTTTCTTTTTGTTTGTACTCTACTTAGGAGATTTGCTATTGAATTATTTTATTTATTTAATAGCCTTTAATTACTGGTAGTACAATTTAACATAAATACATTCAAAACTGCTAACTAGATAACTAACTAAATAGAAAATTCAATAATATTGTTTGGTTCATGCACCATAAATTATTATATAAGATTCAACTATTCATGCTTTTATTATCATATCAACATATTGTCAAAGCAATATAAGCTTTTCACCAGTATTACTTTATAAATTTAGATTATAATTTGTTCTAATTAAACTATTTGTAATAAAATACACTTTTGAAACATTAGTATATAAATGGTTGTATATAGCTAAAATTGGCGAATGTATAAGAAAAGTGTGCGCTGTGTCATTATAACTTAATAAAATGTATTGTGTAATTTTTGGAAACTGAATAGCCTTTTAATGTGGTCAATATTTATTTTATACAATGTAAAAAGGCAACAAGCTGACACTCCACCTTAAGTGGTAATCTTCACATACAAACATGAACAGCATTCTGAATATCACTGATGTCTGTACAACTCAATTCATAGTATTTCTCATTTCTAAGGACTAAGTGTTAACCCTTATATTATGAAGTTAGATATGCATACTGCCATATGTATTTCAAACTGAAATATGACTTATAAACACACCTGCTTGATGACAAAAACCAAAATGTTCTGATTTACATCTTAGCAGAAATATTGTAAAGCTTGAATTTAGCCCATAACAAAACTTGTTTAAGTTACCAATATTTATTATTTAGAATATATTTTGATTTGATGCTACCCCTTACATATTGCTGTGCTATTATTAAGGATTCACATGCTTTTCATAATTTTACATAATGCTACGCCTGATACTTGGTAGGGAATAATTGCATGGACATATGTTATGCGATTTCTGTTTTTTTTTTTTACCTAAATATGCATTGCGTTTAAGTCTTAAAAATAAGTTTAACTATGTGTGAAATTGCGAATGTTTAAATTTTAATAAAATCTTTATGCAAATGCTTAAATCTATACAAGGGATAAAGTAACAGTTTTGCATTTCTGACTTGTCACAACTGTTTGAATATTGAATGATAAATATTTTAAAATATAAAATTCTAAAAGGTGACCACTATGTTGATGTTGTTTAAAAAACTTGTGAAATAATTTTGGGGATGTATTTCACAGGTAGGTATTATAAGTTAGGAAACAGTTGTCCTTGAATTAATATGAGTGCATGAACTGACACTGGAACCAAAGAGGGCTGGGTTTGAATGGTGCTAAAGACTTTGCTTAACTATAACCATTGATAAATTGTTTTAAAATTTAAAGAAGAGTTCTTCTACTAAAAAACAATAAATATAGTTTGATTTCTACATTCATAAGCTATGCATAACTTTCAGTGTGCCCTACATATTACTTAACAAGTAATTATGAGTTTCTCTGTTAGTATAGAGCTGTGCGTTTTTTTCTATTATATATATATATATATATATATATATATATATATATATATATATATATATATATATATATATATATATATATATATATATAACAAAATATTTAAATGTGTTTATCACTAGCTTTACAGCCTTAGTTCTAGCTCTGATTAGTTATTTAAACAAAATTATTTTTTGACCAGAACTTTTTATGTGTATGTTTCTATTTTTCCTTAGATCACTGTGCAGCAGCTCAAAGAAAAAGTCCTAGAACAGTTGGGAATAGATATTAACTTGCAACGTTTAATTTTTTGTGGTCGAGTATTACAAGATGAGAAAAAACTCTCTGAATATGGTATGCATCAATTTTTTAATCATTATGCTTGTATTATAGGTTGTGGTTCTTGGTGTTTCAGCTATTAAAAATGAATTAAAAACTATGTAATATAATAAAATTGTAACTAAATAATGTTTGTACCTAGAAGATATTAAAGAAAAAATTATGTGGGGTTTTAATAAGACCAGCAGATGCCAATATTACAATTTTTAGAAATATTGTTTTCGTCTGTCAGTCTGCCTATTTGTTTGGTGTTCATTTTATAACGTAAAACTACTGCGCCAAATTGCATGCGGTTTTACTGCTGTGTTCCAAAAGGTCTAACTTAAAATCTGGTGTATGTTTCATTTTGATATGCCATTTAGAACTGGTCTATTTAATTGGATTTCCTATTTCTGAAATCCACATATATGAAGTAGCGGGCAAAAAACTAGTTAAATATATAACTCTATAAAAATTGTAAATATAATCTGTAATTAGTAAGACCTATTATTAGTCTGTTGTAGCACTAGTATTTATACAGTGCTTGTAAGCTATAATGTTTGCTAGGGCACATATGTAGGATAATGTATGTCTTTTACATTTGTAGTCTATATTTTTGTATCTACTTATATCTTCATGTACGGTAGCTTATAAGATCTTAATAAAATTATTAATATTTTATTGTTCAGATGATATTTGATTTTCGATGATTGTGGTTACAGATGTTAATGGGAAGGTCATCCATCTTGTGCAGCGGGCTCCACCAAGTCCGGAATTCCGGAATACTGCCTATTCCGCAACAAATAATTCATCCGCAACAACCGCTCCGACTAACGCCACGAATGCGGAGGGCAACACTGCCATGCAACAACAAATTAGACGGCTCATGGTGGTAAGTAAATATCTCATTTTTACATTGTTATATTTGCGAGTTGGAATCATCAGTTGGGGTAATTCATTGTTGTCTTGTTGCTATCTTCTTGTTTTTTATTATCAGTAGAATATCTTGTTTTTTATTTTGCTCTATTAAACAACAAACAAGTCTCACACTGTATGCAGTTCATATACTCAAAAAAGGTATAACTTTATCTAATATACAATATGTAAAATAACAATACCCATTCTTGAAAACCACTTACATGAATGCTGAAAAGTACATTATATAGAAAAATGGAATGATTTATTTATTCTTTGTTGCACAATACAACTTTGTACAAATTGCGAGCTTAATATCATATGGAATTCTCTATCAGCTAACCATTAGGTAAAACCAAAAATATATGTTATGAATGTTTTAGTGTTGTTCTGCCATTGCAAATATTATTTAATATTAAGAACTTAACCTATATTTTACAGGCGTTATCTGGTCCTCCGGACTTTGTTGTCGAGCAGCAGCATGCAATGTCTCTTTCTCCGACAACTGGGCGACTAGAATTCATTCGCCGTATGATTGCTGAAATAAAGTCTACTCTCGCATGTCTTCGAGGTCATCACGAAGAAGAGGTATTGTGGATTGATCGATATATATATTCTTAACTTTAGTTTTATTGTTATTGAATTTTATACAAAGTATATTTAAAATTATTAAGGTAGGATTTGTGAAAAAATGACTGAACCAAATATAATGGTATCACAGAATCAGTTTGAAAATCACGATTTAAATAAATTAGATATGTATCGATTTTAAGTCGATATATGTATAAAAGTATATGCATACGTATGACGAAATACCAAATGAAATTATAACTGATTTCAAATGTATTGCTATAAGAAAATTCGAAATTTGTTGTTTCGGACACATTGCATTTACTTTTAAATATTAAGTTCACATTTGACACAGATTTTAATATTAAAATTTTTAAAATATACCTATTTTATTTCATATAATGCCATCCGCACATTATTTATAAGCATAGGAGTTAAAAATATGCATGAATTATTTGCTTGCTATATTAGTCATACTATTTGTTTATGCATGAATTTACTATGTAGAATGTGTCTGTCTTGAGTCAGAATAAAACTACAAACGTTTTGCATACATATTTTAGGAATGTAAAGTATTTTGACCAACAGTCATCATAATCAATGCAGATATAATTATAATTTATCTCAAAAGAAATATTTTGAGATGTTTCTGCAAATGCAGATGTCGATACATGTAAATATATCTGTTAGAAAATACATGTAAAATTTCTATCGTTTTGGTTTCAAATGTTTCCATTAGCTTTGTCTCACTCGTGTTTCTGTCACAGAACTGCTGTGCTCGCTGTACCATCGGCGGTGATGTCCAAGATGGTGTTCATGTCTTTAGGTGCCGGTTACTATTTTTCATCATGTGTGCTACTAGTTTATTTGTCAATTTCAATTTGTATATTATAACAAAATATATGTTCTGTTTGTGGTAGTTGCACATTGGTTTTTGTGCACAAATACTCGCAAAGAATATATAATAGGCAGTATACGCTGAGCTTTAACTTACAGAATTTTCATAGCAATTAATATTCAGTTAAATTAAAATGAATATTATAGTTGTTATGCAAGACGCCGTAGTTGTATTGATATCACATAGTTAAATTATTAGTAGATGTTTATGTTGTTACTGTACCTACTGTAGGAGAATTCTGGTGCACCAGCTAGCAGTGAAGCCCAAGTAGAATCAATGGATAATGAACATGTATCTGCTACGCAAGAAGAGGTAACGTAATATACCACATCAAACATCTTACAGCCTAACCGTATGAATCCGAATATATCGCTTAAAATAATTGTGCTTTTTACCATTTTATGCATATTATGAATATTTTCAAAACTTTAGCTTAGTTACTGTCATATAGAACCAATATTTTTATAACAGTCATACACAGAACAGAAAGAGCAGGAGAGTTATAAAATAAGCGGGCGGGTTGTATCACAATAAACTATTAACCATTTTCAAAAATGGTAATATGTATTTTTAGATTTATAATTTTTCCACCACAACCATATTATACATTAATTGGCAACAATAATATAAAGCTACACACAGTTGTGGGAGACTGGCGTCTAAATTGGGCAGCGAGCTGCCTGTGTCTTAGATCACCAGGCCCCCCTCCTCAGAAACAAACATCAATTATATATATTACTAACTACTTTGCCATCATGATAAGGAACAAAAATTAAATACAAAAAGTACAAAATATGGTAAAATACACCTTAATATTTTGTGAATGTACGTAGTATTGATTATATTACGATTTGATTTATATATTATTTATTAAATATTTTTGCCCTCTACTTACATCCGCATGTATCTCAGAAGTAAGAAAACCAATGAAACAGATCACTAACATATATTTTACACACATATAAAGATAAATTTGTATTTTTTATCCACTGCACGCCCGACATCCAGCACCTTTATTCCGTTTGCCGATGTTAGAAGTAGTTCGGCGCGATTGCTAGAACTCGGCCTGAGATTGAGACGGGTCGATGTGCCGGCAATACATAACATATTTGATTTGACCAGTGTATAAAACAAAAGTCGGCTCCCATCCAAAAGTAGATAGCGTATGTTAGGATGCAAAGAGTATGCAAGTAGATTTAAGACAGAAGTTGTATATAGTTGTATGAATAAGATGATCGATATGAATGGTATGGAAGATAAAACAGTATGGAGAGTAGGAAAGCTGTTGGGCCAGATGGATTTTTTTTTATACAACTTAGAATGGCAAACAAGCTGACGGCCCACCTGATAGGAAACGGTAACCGTCGCTTATAAACATGAGCAGTATCATGGACATAACTGTTTCGCCCATGATACCCCTATGCGTGGCCATTCCTGAGGACTTAGGTGTTATTCCTCTGTACCCAGTAAATTCACGTCATATTCCACCCTTCAAACCGAAACACAGCCATGCAAACACAACTGCTTCACGGTTGAAACAAGAATGGGACAGAGGTACCCAAGCAATCGACTTTTGTACAGTCTCCCTCTGGTAAAAAATGGAATACCAGTAGAAGTATGGAACTTAGTAGGTTGTTGCACGAACTGACGAATGGTGTATTAAATTCGTTACAAAATATCTTTGAAATAAGGGTGATCTTCAAGACTGCAACAATTACCGAGGAATAAAGCTCATGTCATATAGTATGAAAGGTTAGGAGAGAGTTGTAGATAAGCATTTGTGTGAAGAGAGTGAGATAACAATAATTAGTGTGGTTTTATGCCAGATCGTAGTACCATAGAAGCCATATTTTTACTGCGTCAGTAATGTGAAAAGTACAGACGTGCTCATAAGAACTTTCATATGGTATTTGTGGACTTAGAAAGGCGTTCGACAAAGCATCTCGGACGGTTTTGTGGTGGACTCTGAATGAAATGGGCGTACCTGTGTAGTATGTGGAATTAATTTGGGCTGTGTACAGTCAATCTCTTACGTACGTTTGGCCGGCTGCTGGTAATACCGATGAGTTTAATATGGCCGTGGGTTTACACTAGAGATTGTCCTTAAGTTTTTACCTGTTTTTGTTGATAATGGATGCTTTGACATCAAATCTACAGGATGGGGCACCCTGGTGTATACTGTTTGCCGACAACATTATTCTTGTCGATGAGGATGGAGCTGAAGTCCAGAGCATACTGGTAAAGTGACAACAAAGTCCTTTGTTGTCACTTTTGAGTTTTGTTCAGATCATTGGCATCAACAACAGAAACAAAATTGAATACATCATCTGCGATTTCGGCTGTCTCTTGTTCTGCAGTCATATAGCTTGACGGTATTATTATACCAATCTGCTCCGATTTCCGGTACCTGGGTTCACTCCTACAAAGCCATGTTAAATAGATTGAACAGTTTCGTTGAACAAAAATGCTCAGAAACTGATTATTGAACTCAATGTAAACAAAAACTTTTTATAATATAGATACAAAGAAGTATAAAATAAAGAAGTGCTACTTGCCACTTGCTAATTGATAGGACTCGGTATCCTTATTAATATTATAAATGTGATAATTAGTTTGTGACGTGATGAAACTTGTTCCTTATGTAGTATTTTGCATTGAGAAGGGCATTGACTATTTTTTATCCTTGTTAATCAGTATACTCTGGTCACGCGGACGAATTTGCGGCTAAAGACTATTATGAGTAATAAATAATCTCATAACTAAAACGCTTATTATGATTATCAGAAACATATGTTGATTAGTCTGTCATAATGAAAGGAACAACCAATATATCTACATCTTACTAAGTATATTTGAATCTAATGTATCAAAATACAAACCTATCTGGATTTTTGGGATAAAATCATGCCAATTGGTCATTGTTATGGATTCATCAGGAATTAATCATGATGTTTTCCAGGGCCGATGGTGTAGAGATCGATTTGACAAGGTTTATTGCTAAGAATGCGGCCTCTAGTATATACCAGAGGGAGACTTTGTACAAAAGTCGATTGCTTGGGTACCTCTGTCCCATTCGTGTTTCTAACGTGCAGCAGTTGTGTTTGCATGGCTGTTTCGGTTTGAACTAATTTTTCAACTAATGTATGTACCCATATTCGTGCAATAAATGATTTGATTTGATTTGAAGGGTGGGATATGGCGTGAATTTACAGGGTACAGAGGAATAACATCTGAGTCCTCAGGAATGGTAACGCATGGGGGGTATCATGGGCGAAACTATACTCTGTTATGTCCATGGTACTGCTCATGTCTATAGGCGACGGTTACCACTTTCCATTAGGTGGGCCGTCAATGTGTTTGCCATTCTAAGTTGTATAAAAAAAAAGTTCACTAATAATCCTTTATCCCCAATCTACCTAGATTGATTAGTTAACCGTATTTTCAATGATCTGCCTCGATTAAAATAAAAAGTTTTTATATTCATATACATATCATATCACATGATTATTTTTTTACAAATTGGCATATTTAATAAATACAGGTACAGTCATGTAAACTAGTGTTTGTATGGCTGTGCTTCGGTAACAGCAGACAGATGAAAGTTTCACTTCGCTATAAAGTTCATCTTGTGATTGGCTGTTTCTATTTCCATTTTCTATTTTTATCAATTTGAAGTTTGGTCACTCAAATATGGATGACCAACGAATGTTAACAACTGGTAATATCAAGTCAGGGTGTCGAGTATAATCGCCTAATTCTATTTATAATAGCTTTTCTGTTCTGTAATGCACTGTCAATATTGATTAGCTTTATCAATTTGAGAATATTTTCTATTAATATTCTTTTTTGTGTGGTTTCTATTATTTGTACACATATTTTTTATTTAATATCCCTGTTTATCTATTCGTATGTCACAGTGCACGCCATTACATTTATTTAGTACACTTAGTATGAAGAAATCGAGTTGGATGTATTGGAAGTAGTGATGTGTCGAATGGTTAAAAATATATATCTGTAGATACGAGTAAATGGTATCTATGCGGATACGGATATGAATACGGATACTTGTTTTTTATTTCTCTTTTATGCCATAATTGATGAGACACAGTCCTCTACGAATAGGTATTTGCAAACTTTTCAGGTTACTGTTATCAACAGAGACCCATATTTCATTTAGGGAATCGATATGAGGTTTAATAAGTGAATTATGAATAATATAAAGCGTTTTAAAGTAGAAACAGGAAAATGTCTAGCCATGCTTCTCAGGAATCCTGTAAGGGATGATATTTTGGAACAGATTTTTCTATATGTAATGTCCATGATTATTGACTGTCTAAGTCATTTTTTAATGATATTTTTCATCATGGACATTAAGACCTAGACTATTTTTTAATGATATTTTTTTATATTTTAATATTATTTATTTTAATTGGTGGATGATTTTGCAGTTTTTTATTCTTTCTAGCAAAAATACCATGTAATTTACTTTAAATGTATTGGTAATTAGAAGATTACGAATGAACCATGTATGTATGGTATTAAGGTCCCTTTGTGCTTTTCTCATAATAGTTAAATACCGACCCAAGTAAAATATACTAATATATTATTTAGCAATAAAGCATGGTTAACTGTATCCAACGTTTTTTTCTAGTTCTATAAATATACCTAATGCATGTTTATTGTCTATAGAAAATTTAATATAATATAATGAGATTTGCCGTAGCAGAAAGTGTCTTTTATTAATGCTGTTAGGTGTATTGTTTCTTAAATAGGAATTTGATATCTTTAAGAAATTTAGTTTAACGTCTGTATTTTTTCAAATATCTTTGAGAACACCGTAAGGACAGTTATAGGTCTCCAGATATTAAATAGGGCTTTCTTTTGCTATTTTAAGTGCTATTTTGTAGACATTTATTATGTAAGTAGTAAGCTTTTCAAGAGTATGATCGTTTTAAAATTTTATTTGTTTGTATCTTTCTTTCTCGGCTCAAGTTGTTGCAAATAGTACTTCCGAAAAATCTTGAAAATTAATACGTTCCAGTTTATATGTTATACCAACAACAAGAAAGAACATTTCTATGTGAACTCATAGATAAGTATTAAGCTTGATTTACTGGGCTGATTTCGGTATAAACAAAAACACATAATTGAGTTCGAGAATTCGAAATTTCATTTAATGGTAGACTGTGCAGCATTCTGACGGCTCTCATCATCTCTTGTTGTATCAAATGATATCGTTGCTTCATAACGATTTTTTTTTCAGTTTCGATGCAGAAATTGTAATGGTTTTGTAAAAACGCTATTGCATACTTTTCATTTGCATCCTAATTGACAGTTGTTGTTCTAATATTGAAAATCATTAAAAATAATGAATAATGATCAATAAAAAAGTTAGAATAATATTCATCAATTGCGGTGATTCTGTAAAACATACTTGATCCCTAGACACTTTTTATGTGTGTAGTTAGCAATATATACGAGGGTCAAACTGAAAGTCCTTAGAAAATAAAAAACTGATTAAATTAGCAAGTTTTTACCTTTATTTTATCTTTTCAAAATAGTGTCCATTCACATCACATATATCGCTGCATTCGATAGAACTACTAAGAAAAGCACTTTACCCACTCGTCCTTGGGGATCTCTTCGACGGCCTTCTGAAACGTAGCCATCGCTTCCTCGGCGTCCATAAAACGTTTTCCTCGAAGTTTTTCTTTTATTTTTCGGAATAAATAACAATCGCAAGGTGCGAGGTCGATGCTATAAGGCGGATGACCCAGTAGTTCTACGTCTGAGGTCGCCAAATAATCGATCGTTTGCCTGACGGTGTGCGACGAAGCATTGTCGTGGTGAAGGAGGATCCTACTGCGATGTCGTTTCTCACGCACTTTTTCCAAAACACGTGGCAAACAATTGTTACTGTACTACTTTGAAGTAACTGTTTTTCGATCCTCTAAAACAATTGTCGCGTAATGACCTGTCCTTCCAAAGAACGAGGCCACCATCTTTCTTCCCACGCTTAGACCTCTCTTCACTTTAGTTGACAACTCCTCGGAAGGAAACACCCATTGAGTTAACTGTCTTTTAGTTTCGGGATCATAACAGTAAATCCAGCTTTCGTCTCCTGTAACTACGTTAAACACAGAATTTGAGTCACCTCCGTTAAATCTTTCATGCATTTCACGGCACCAATCAACACGACGGAGTTTTTGAGCCTCGGTCAAATTATGAGGTATCCACCGGGCACAAAGCTTCCTGACCGCCAAATGTTCATGGAGGATTTTGTGCAATTGACTCATACCAATCCCTAAGCTTGCCCGGATCTGCTGTTAGGTCACTCTTTTGTCTGTCTCTATTATACGTCGCACAATTTTTTAATTTTAATTTTTTACAATGTTAAATTTTTTTTTTATTATATTGCTTTCAAGTAGCCAGTTCTAAAAATTTTCAGTGTAGCCCTCGTGTTAAAGTTCTTGTAATTTGCCTGGCTTTGTTAAACTATGCACAGTAGCATAGAAAATCCTTAAAGAACCGTTACTCGTCATCAGATCTGCATTATTATTGATAAACTGGTAAGTAATATTATCTTATCATTTTGTTGGGAAGCAATTAGTTTTTGATGACAGTGTAATAATTTTTGGTACACTACGGACGCATTATATGATCAGATAGATTATTTTCTCTTTGAATTCAACATACCTGCAATTCATTTTTTATTTTTTTTTTTGTATATGTTTGATGAGACGAGGTTAGATTAGAATATACTTCCGCTTTCTTATTCATAAAGGCTAAAACAGGAATACAAAGCTATTATAGCTATTGAAGTATTTTGTCACTTTCTTTCAAATTGAGAATTTAGTGCAAAAGAAAAAAGACAAGACAGTTTAGCTAAAATAGGTTTATGACATGTTTTGACGTAGTTTTGAAAATGGAGTCAATGTTATGTTTAATTTAGATTTTTTTTATATATTTAACTCTTCAGTCTCCTGACACTTAATAATCGAAATTTTTTAATATTATACATTTTTGTGTAAGTTTAGCCTTATTTCCAATTTACTAACGTTTGGCATTCGTTACTTATTTATAAAACTGATACTATATACACTTGAGAGCAATGAATGCGGGTCACCAAACACAAAGTATTAAAATTCAAGAAAATCATTTTGTTGTACAAAAATGATGTATCCTATTTTTGTTTTAAGGCGAGATCAGCAGTTTTTTTTTCTTTATGTAATTTTTAATAAATAAAATGCAATGATTTATAAATTTTATTACTTTCATTTAAAGGGTATTATATTGTCTATTATACACCATTTATTTCATTAAGATAGCATTCTTATTTTCCGAGATTTATAGGTTTTTTTAAGTGACCCGGATTCATTGCTCTCGAGTGTATATAGATATATAGAATTGTCAATATTTACAATGTTTTTTTTTTTAAATCAGTAGAAATAACTTAAACTTAATATATTTTTTCCCGTTTTTATTTCTGGAAAAGAATCAATTATTTTGTGAAGGATTATATAAAATAAATAATACTTAACGCATTATTATTAATTTTGTAATGTGAATGATTGTTATAAAATACTAATGTATATTAGTACTTTTATTGTATACTAATATTTTATTAGTAAGATATAATTTGTTCACATGATAATTAAAATTTTATATAATTGGTCACAGGGTGAACATGCCTCGCATGACCATGGCGAAGAAGTTCCGGAAACTACAAATAGACCTCAAAATGTTCGCCGGCGGTGAGTTTGCTTTGTTATTACTATTGGCAATTGATTAAGTTTAGGCATAAAAATTTAAAATTTCTGTATAGTAGATTCGCGATTATCCGAATGTTCGGCTATTCGGACTTATTCTTCACGGCTCTAATTATCTGAATATTCGACTAGCCGGATTTATTCTTCACGGCTTTGATTACGTTTAAATGACGTACGAAAAACATTTTAAATAATAAAAATATATTAAAATTTAATTATTGTTTGATTTGACTTTGAAATCGATTATCCGGATTTTCGATTATACGGAATACCCTTGGTTTTATTTGATTCGGATAATTGAAATTCTACTGTACTTTAATTTTGTGGATGAATTTGAGTTTACACGCTAATATTAGGTAGACTGAAGCACAGTTATTCTTCTGAATTTGATTTTGCAATTTGCAAGTTTAATGATATATGAATAATTGAGAAAAATACTGAAAACAAAAAAAAATTAATAATCGATTATAAAAAATTTCAATGTAAATTATTCTTTTTCTTTTAATTGCTGTAATTGATTGTTTTTCTCTGTGCCGTTTTCCCACATATAAGGAATTACAGGGCTATAAGAGCGCTACGTGCACGACACTCGCGCCCTCGCGACCTCGGATATCTTCTGGAAGAGTTGGATCAGCTTCAAATACAGTTCGCGCCCTTTCGGGACAATTACATAAGGATGCTTAAAGCTGTTAATAGCCCCGAGGTAAAAGAGATATTAAGTATTCTATAATTAGAAAAATTAATAAGAAAATAATATTTTATGGTTATAAATACTCGTATTTCATATTTAGTCAGTTATTTTGCTAAATATAGAAATCGTGTAGACCGGTGTTATATGGGAGTTTAGCTTTGTATTTGCAAAATAACATGAGATTAAATTAAGTCTTTGTGTCAGTTGTTAATTATATAAAAAAAAAAAAATGTTTTTTACACAAAAACGAAATATTTGTATATTGTTATGATATTCTATTCCACATCTCTATATAATTGTTTATTTTTCTTATTAATAGCCACCGCAGTACACTGAAGAAGAGAGGGAGAATGCCCAGCGTTTGGTGGATATGACGTCAGATGTAATACATAGCTTTTCACACGCTTACCATGCTATTAGCGATATCCACTTTCAAGTTGGTCAACGGAACCCGCGTCTTACTTCTGAAGCAGTTGTAACGCGCCCCCCAATACCTGTGCAGGTATTTACCATAATTACTGATAATTTCAATATACATATATACAGTGTATTTGTTATATTTTGTTAGTATTTTAATACATCCTTGATAATATTAGAATCTAGTTGCTGTAACTAACTACATAAATTATAAAAAGTTTTAGAAATATTACCTAAAACACAAGGAGTTGTATTAATCCTGCTGAATGCTGAAGATATTGACAGATATGCGATTATACGTTATTTTACCTTGACTTCGAACAAGTATATATGTTTAGTTTTTTAAAAACAAAATACAGTTTGCGTTACTTTTTGATAATGTAACTTTCTGTAGGCAAAACAATTATTAATATAGGTTAACTATTTTATGAGTTAGAATATGAGTTAATCCATTACAAACAAGGAAAATAACTGTTTATTTATTACATATTAGTTTAGATTACGTAAACGATTACTTAAATTATAAATTTATAATCTCTTAAAAAGAAATTTAGGTTTAATTATATTTCTAAACAAAAATTAGACAAAAAAGGAATGTCAAACTTTTCCTGATGGTGAAACCAGGAAATGTTTGTTACAATTTACATTTAGTGATTTTTCCTAGAAATATCCAACGATATTTCTAGGAAAAATCACTCCACCATCCAGTTAATTGCAAATATTAAAATGTTATGTGCAACAACAAAAAAAGAAACTTAAATTTTTTTTGTTCATGGAATGTGAAATGAATATCTCATTCTATAGGCTTCATGTGTTTATGAAACATCTTTGCATAAAATAATCTGACTTTAATATAAGAAGAATAATAAAGTGCATAATTTGCATATTGCATACGATATATCGTATCGTGAGCAAACTATATTCTCGTAATTCTAAATTGATTAGATTATTCTTCTTTATCTTTAATTAGATGATTCTTCTTTTTAACCAATATTGAGGTTAGTACTAATTTTTGTAACCATTTACTTATTGTTATTTACACAACAGGCACACATAAATGTGATACAATCTAACCGTCGCCATCAAGCAGCGCAACCGAACTCGACAGCCACTAGTGGTGAAGGGAACGGGGGCTCCACTCCTACTCCTCAGACTGCCACCGGCGTTACACCGTCAGCTCAAGTTAATACCAACGGTCAGGCGACTCAAGGCGGCCAGCCTTCCGCACAAGCCGGTAGGAATACTACCCAACCGACTGTCAATATAAATATACAACCAGACCTCAGTTATCAAGTAGAGATAGAGACCAGGGTGCCTATAGCATTACCTATCGAGAATGCCCTTCTCAATGATCTGACAAGCGCGGCTTCGAACAACAGCCAACAACAACCGAATCAAAATCAAGCTCAGCCTCCGAATCAAAGTCAGCAAGGTCAGGCCAATCGTCGTCAAGTGCTTCTTGGTAAGATCTTTCACAATTCAAGCGGTCCGTTGCTCTTGTGGATCTAACTCCAACCCTTGGTGATCTAACTCCAACCCTTGTGGATCTAACTGCGTCAAAGGTGAAATGTCAATGTCCTTAGAACTTTAGGTGTTTAGTACCTGAAGTGTTGAATGTTTTATTTATTAAGTAAATAATCATTAACTTAATTTTTATCTACTTACTGTATGATCAGACTTTTACCTTAGTATTTCTTTTTAATTGCTGTTTTGGTATATTTTTTATTAAGATTGTAGAGTATAGTCTTAACGTTTATTTGTTGCAGAATTTGAGAATTTGTTTCGAGGAATGGGTCAGACTGGGGGCCTCGGTGGTGTCGAGGTTGTTATGAGTATGGAAGAAATTCCGCAGCCAGGAGCTATTGGTAATGTGGCTCCTGGCGCTGCTAATGGGGCCAGTTCTGCTGGCTTCGGCGCAGGAATTGGAGTAGGTCTTGGAAATGGCGTTGGAACGGGAAGTGGAGTTAATATGGGACCACTTATAGGAGCGGCCGCGGCTAGTGCCATAAACGCGACGGCGACTGTCACCGGAGGACTGCCTCAAGGGGATGGTGGAGGTATTTTGTTTAAACCATATTTTATTTGCAATTTCAAGCATTGTTAAAAAATCTATACGTACATTGAATAAGTTATCACTTGATGTCATCAATTATATGAAACTAGTACTTAAGAAGTTTGACTTTACATATGCGTTAATAAAAGTTTTTTTTAAATATTTATTTGTTAATTCGTGACTTAATTAAAATTCACCGATACATCTTTACTAAATAATGTTATAGCTTATTATCTTTACCCTAAATTTCATTACAAATAAAGCTACAGTACAGTACAATACTCTTGTTAATACAAAAACCGATTAAAAAAGCTATTCCTACTATATCTATAGTATTTTTTTGTATTTGGTATATCTATACCAAATAGAAAAAAATTCATACGCCTTACCCATGTCTTAGGTAATAGAGTTTCTTGTTACAGTTTATCTTGCGCCGATGGCATGGGGTGGACCAATGAACGCTGATCTTCTGCAGAATATCGTTTCGTCCGTCATACGGCAGGGCTTAGTACCTGGAGTAGAGGGGGTTGCAGCTCCAATGCAAGCACAAGCCCAAGCTCAAGCCCAAGCCCAAGCTCAGGGACCAGCAGGACAGAACCAAACTGGGCAGTCAGCTGGACAACAGCAATTTCCAACTACGCAGGGTACTGCCGGTAACCAAGAACAAGGGTCTCAGAATACTCAGCCTAGGCAACGTAAGTACCGTAATGTTTAACTCATGAACCGAATTGCAATAAATAAAAAAAAAAATTAAATATATTAAAATTTAAAATTATATACTAGTTCTTGGGGTACACCGACAAAAAATACATATATTCAGTACATATCTAACTATAATACGTAACAGTCGCGTAGATGTGTGCAGTTGTTATGTATTATATAGGATAGAATAGCCACTAAAACACCCCTATTTTTCAATATTTTTGCGACCATATAATTATTTGGAAAATTATAATATATACTCGTATAGTGTAAAGCTAGTTAGGAGCTTCCATTTCGCTTTAGTTTTATTCAAATATCAATCATAGTTTCGTAGAAAAATAATTTTAAGGTTTGGTGCTGCAAACCTTATCAAAATTGGCTCAAGTTAGGTGTATGACAATTGGTAAAAAATATTTCGAACAGCTAACAATATATTAAAGGCACAAGTGTCAACAAAGACGCCAGTGTGGATTTCATAAGGAAACATGGCAAGAACCTTTAGATTAACATTGATAAGTATTTGTGGGCCGATTTTTCTCTTACTTGGAGTAACTAGGTTTAGGCTGCCTAGATGCTCTTCAATAAATCGAACTGTATGGTGCAATTTCAATGCTTTTATACGGCAAATGTTTCGCTTCATTCGCATTGTACAGTAGAATCAATTTATGTTTGTGATATACATTAGACGTATACTTAATACATATTTGTTAATCCCATTTTGTTCAGCAACATAAAACATTCAGCTAAAAAAACTGAGCTAAATTTAATTAAAAAGACTATGTATTATGTTGTTTGGTCTTAAATTAAATATTGTGTAAAATTACATCTTAAATAAAATACGTATTGATTTTATATAATTACTATATTATATAAAATCAATACGTATTTTATTTAATAAAATATAAATTGCATAAAATATGATATTTATATATCATATTTTATGCAATTTATATTGTTAATAGAGATTTACAGACAAATAATAATATTGAGTGTTATATTGCAGCCAGTTTTCACTTGCGTCGAGCTACTACAACCACTCGTGCTCAGGCTGTATCTTTGGCGAACTTGATTTACGACAGATTTCTTCATTGCGATAGTTTGCATGCTCGCCATCACTTAATAATTCGCAGGTAATATTTTAACATATTAAGGTAATTCTATATATTGTTGTATCATCATAGATAGATAAAATGAAAAGAAAAGAAAATATCGTGTTTGTAGACAATCAGTAAGGTTAAGTTTTCATTAACATTGTATATTTGTTGGTTTGTTATTCAGTTAAAATTAGTGAGGTTCTGGAAAATATCATATTATTGTTTAAATACAATAATATTTGTAGCGGCATTTACAGGAAGTTGCGTACCTTTAAATATAGGATTTTCGCTACACTCCTCTAATTCCTTACAGTACAGGGTAGGTAAAGTAAGATCATTGTAAACTCCTCTATTGTTATATACATAATTATAATTTTCAATTACATAAACGATGTATGTGTAGGGAGGAACATCAGCAACAAATCGCGGCTCAGGAACGTTTGAGAGCAGAGCGCGCCGCCGCACAAAGTATAGAATTGCTGATGCAGCGGCAGAATAATATCACTGAGGTAAAACGTTAAATATACGAGTATTGACTAATAAGAAAACATTATGATTATACGTGTTATTGAAACGACGATTCTATGACAAGTGTTTTATTGAACTACTATCATATAATACAATTTTATATTAATATATCCACAACATGCCCACATGCCGTGTGTGCGCCGGCATACAGTGGGCCAACCCTTCTTATTTATTTTTATTTGTCAAGATCTAAAACCACAACTAAAACTAGCTCATTGAAAATTATAATATTAATATTAGTACTGTAACTTATTTAAACTACGGTTATGTATTTACGAAAATAAGATTTCGTTTCATTTTAAATTACACTCTGTACATGCCGACGGCTCAGTATACCGTTCGCGTACATATTGCTTGGTTGTAGTTGTGCTTTTGTCCCAGCATATTTCTAGTTTCTTTTGGGTATTCTAGTCTGTGACGCTGCTGCCTGTTCGGTAATTCGTTTCGCTGTCCGACACCATTGCATTGCTTCTTTGAAGGTTATCGATGAATTCGTCAATATTTTTTCTCTCATCTAGGCCTTGTATGTTATCAATTGGGTTAATATTAAAATTTTTTTTAGTCCGAATTCACAGTTCTTGCTTAGTCATAACTATCTTCGATTTAAAAAAATATAAGTCTTGTACTTGAAATTTTTTTTTGGATCACAATTTTCACCAAGTTTTGAACACAATTTTTCGTAATTTAAGCCCGTTTTTGTAACGATAAATTTTTAATAAATTTACAGTTCGTATCTTCCAATAACATGCACAAAACAGCATATTTTTTCTTTAGCGATGCATATTCTTTTCCTGAGGCAATTAAAAATTAAATTAAAGTTATTTTTGAATTAAATAAAGCATTTTCGTCAATTGGTAGCGGTTTTCCCATATTGTTGCATTGGTGCCGGTTGTTGTATTGCCGTAAATATGCGTGAGGATATCACGCCTTTTTTTCATTTTTTCATTCGTCCTTGTTTACGTAATCGTACGTTACAAAATCAATAATGATATCTGAGGTAATTTGTACTAATTTTAAATTTACGTTTGGTACTATATTATGGGTGTTATTGAAACAAAGATTGCGTGACAAGTGCTTTACACAACTATAATACTGGTAGCGCTAATGTCACTTATATTCTACATGATAGTATTTATAACATTGGAAACAGTAAGGGAGTATTCGAAGAGAGATTTTTGTCCGCGTCCGCGCATCGTGCCTGACGAAGATTTGCTACGGACTCGTTCTGCTATATAATGGTGTATTCTCTTATGACTTCGAAAAATTAAATTGAGATTTTTCCTCATTTGCTCTAAATGACATGCTGTGTAAATTTGTGTTCTATGTTGTTTTATTATTCTTACATACAGTTTATATGTTTCTATAGGAGCACATGGAGCTTCTGGTGCAGTTGCTTAGTAGCCCACCATCGCAAGAATCTTGGCTGAATGCATTTATGGTCTCTGTTGTAAGTATTAAATAACTTCATAAAATAATATGTATCCTAAAATCACTAGTGTTTCATACGTTTCAATACAATACAAATTTCAATACAAAATCGTCGTGGCGTTTCACTTATACGACGATTTTGTATTGAATCATCGAGAAATAAATTGTGTTATTAATTACATAAATATAAACATAACGGTAGTGACTTCACTAATATATAAAAAAGGAACATTGATCTCAGTATATATTCTCCGGCAAATTGTTATCATTCGTGATTGTATTTAGTTAGTACCTGTTACCACCAATAAATGACATAGTAGGGGTTTAATGGAGACATACTTCCCATGTTTAATTGTAAAGTGACTGTTGCTAGTATAAGTGAAGAAATATACAAACGATGAAAACACATGGCGATTTTTAATAAGTTCTGATTACAATATATTTTAACCAGAGACAATATTAAATATAAAGCACGCACGCAGGCCCTAATACACTGGTTTGTCACTACAGGCTCGTCATCTGTACATGTCAGAAGTGATGCATCCAGTATCCGGAGAGCCGGCCCTTATCCCCCACGAGTTCCAGGCCGTGAGGTTTATGCTCCGCAATTACATACATGCACTGCTTTCACGATCAGGCTCTACTGATGGGGACAATGCTTTTGAAGCAGTCGCCGACTTCCTCGTCAGTGAACATGCTGATTTTATTCGTGAAATGGTAATGTATTGAATTTATAAATACGAACTGTTAATTTGCCGTATCGCATTATATTGTGACGCCACAATAGTAGAGGCACAATTGTATCAGTGAAGGCTAACATATATACAAAAAGTTATGTACATCTAAATATACACATTTTTAACTTTAGCTTATTTGGTGTATTAAAAAGAAATTAAAAACACATTTATCATTGTTTTGTTGTGAACAGGATTTGTTTTGACACAAAAATGGTTACAGAAATTAACATAGACTTTCTAGTAGTACTGGCTACAAATAACTGTTTACTTATTTATATAAATGTGTTTAAAAGTTAGTGGAAATTTTACAAAATTTAATTCGGTATCGTTAAAATTATAAATAAAGAATTTTACAAAGCTGATAAATAAACATGTTAGAAAAGAGGTTAGTGTAGATGATGCAGTAGAGGTATAAGTAAAAATTAGACCACTATTCTGTATATTCCAAGGAGAAGAAGAATCTGTAAAATCTAGGTAAACCCGTTTGATATTAGATGGACCGTATGCTTGTTCGCCACCTTAGTTGTATAAAAAAAATATATCATTTTCTTACTAAATATTTCACAAAATTAATTCCCTGACGAATTGGAGTGCTGTATACGTTACCGTGGTTATAATTTCTATTGAATATGTAATTAGAGACTGTTATAAGATGAAATTAAAATGTAATTTTTATGAACAGCATTTCAGGACCCCGCTACGGCCTGACGTGGATGTGTACCTCTCTATTCGAGCTCTGATCCGTTCGCGCTTGCCCGCCGTCATTGCGTCCGTCATGTGCGACTCAACTTCAGAAACGTTTGTTCCCCGTTTCTACGGCGTCTTTGCACGAGTTTTTGCCGAAATATGTACGCTGATTAATTATTTCTGTATAAATGGCTTTGAAGGATTACACTCTATCTTCAGATCGTTCTTGGTAAGTGGCAACAAAAGACAGATTTTTTTTGTTTATCGATAAATATGCATTTTGTAAAACGTGATTGGTTATATTTTTTCCGTATTGGGGTTTTCTTTCGATTTAGCAAGCCCGCCATTTTGGTATTCTTATAAAATGACAGATAGCAGCTGTGCCAAGCTTTGGTGTAAAATGTATCCAATCTTTTTTTTTAATAGTGGATATGATGGTATATTTTGGTAGTTCGATTTCATTTGAAAGTCTTAAGGTTATCCCTTAATTTATAAAACGTTATTTACAGATATATAGGGTAAGATGTGGATATATTAATAATAAACAAATGTCTGTCATCCTTATTTAGGATTACAGTTATGAGTATATATTATTATTTATATTAGTCTTTACGGGCGACTTTGTCGGTATGATTGAGATATTTAATTAAAATATAACTTATTATCACTTAATATTAGCGTAATAATATAAGCCATGCCTATGTGGCCCGAGGTCAAGGACAGATAAAGTGTCTTTAACTAAAAAGATCTAAGTTATCTAATGTATTATGAAATATCAAATATGCAAGCCTTCTTCAATGATTTCATATAAAGGTCTCATTACAGTACTAGATTTTTTTTGTGTAGTTAACTTTAAATATGAGTAGGTTTTACTTTCGTGTTAGTTATATGATAATTTGTTAAGCAGTTGTTGTTTTATGGAATAAAATAACAAATTAGCAATTATATGTTTAGGAGCGGATAGTTCAACACTGTGATATAAATACGCAAGAGATGTTACTCAATCTTAGTACTGTCAACCTGAATGGCGTAGCGGACACTCTATACTCCACCAGCGTGATTCGACCGTTTATACGACGGAAGAATGGAGTTGCTACTACAGTATGTATTTCCACAATTATTTACTAAATATGTCAAGTATAAAAAATCAATTATAATGAATTATAATATTGTAATTATCAACTTAATTCTAATAATAACTTTCTCTGTATTTTAGTCATCATTAGAGTCAATCGAAGATCCGACTCCAATGGAAGTATCTCCTCCATCCGCATTGCAGACCACTGATACCAATGAATCAATACATGCCACCAATGAACCAATGCATACCACCCCTCCTCTAACTCCGGCGGTCGTAGAATCTGTACCGCCTCCTACGACCGATGAGCCAACAGAAATTACACCTGAAGTACCGACCGTAGTCGAATCTGTTGTTGCATCGACGTCAGGCACTAAATCAGAAACGTCCACATCTGAGACCACCGCGTCATTGAATCAACCATCGATATCTCGCAGTGTATCTAATTTACCAAGGTAATCATACTAGCTTAGAATTTGGAATGATGTACACGATGGAAAGTGGAAATTACTAGCTAATCTTTAAATAATATAAAACAAAGTAGATGCTTGTTCGCCGGCTTACTTTTTCAAAATTATACACTATTATATCATGTATTTTGTTATGGAATTCATTTAGATGTACGTATTTTTATGGATGCCCAAATTTTAAAGAAGTTTATACCAAAGTATCATGTTAGTAACAAATATGTAAAAAATGGGAGTCATAATTAAAGTACATAATAACGGTATATGGTAACAGTATATTTATAAAGTTATTTTCGTTATCACTTTTCAAATTTACGCATTTTACATTAATAACTAATGTATTATCAAAGAATTTTGTTTTATAAATGTATTTACCCATTGTATATTATTGATATATAATTACTTAAATAAATATTACAGGACTTCAAGGTTAGAGAGAACAGAAACAGTGACGTCTACTCAATCAGCACCCAGCTCACCGTCTAATATAAGATTCGTGAGTATATCATTTATATATCGATAGGAACTGTTTTGAAGATTTACAGAGACTGATAAATAAATACAGCTGCTTTCCCAATTAGGCCAGAAATGCATAAAATAATTTAATTATAAAAAATAATTTTATTTGATTAAATATTTCTATTCCTTACTTCGGTAAATATTTTCACCAAAACAGTACATTTATGTCAAACTGCCTGAGTTGGCACAGTTGGATGCGGATACAAAGGCATCTTTCCTACTGTATCTGTTCTAAAAACAATACGCTATAATTTTTATACATCTTTTCGTGCATACCATTTAATGTCATAGAATGGGTCACTAGGGAATCTCTGTAATTTTTATTAAAATTTTATTAGGTGCCACCAGTAGTTATTGTGCAACACTGGGGCGAGGAATGGGTGCCAGTGTTCACTCGTGACCAACAGACACAGAGAAACGATTCAGAAGAGGCGTACAGTGACGCTTACTTATCCGGAATGCCGTCGAGGAAACGTCGCTGCATCAGACAGAATCGGCCGCCCACTACGCTTGATGGGTTCATGAATGGTATGTTTATCACCTAAATAAGATACCTGTTTGACCCAACCAACGCATTCCATATGAAATTTCTGATCATATTATAATCATTTTAATGACAACTTATCGACTTCCATCTGCTGGGCATGGATTCCTTTAAGAACAAAATATTACCATACACACGATGCTAATATTGATATAAGGATCTGTAGTTCCATATTTGAAATATCAGATAAACAACTAATGTGTTCCTAATTTAAGAAATATTGTTTCTTGTCAAAAAATTCGGCCAGGTGCGAGTTAACCTCGCACATTGAGGGTTTCGGACATAAAAATATAAAAATGGAATGCCCTTTATTGTATTTCTCATACAAAATAGACAACACTTGAAGACTTCACTGAGTAAGAAGAGGTGTATCATTTAGTGCAATATATTATTTTGTTATATATACAGAGAGTGTTCGCGAGGCATCAGAGCGTACTTCAACTATGGATGACAGTTCTATTCGCATCGCGTTTCGAGAGCACATGCGTAACATGGCTCGGGCCCGCGCCTCAAGTTCTGAAGATTACGATCCACTACGATACACTTCCGCTGCAAGATTCCTCAATGCACCTAAGTAATAATCTACTTTTATCTGTATGCTCTATCTGATATTTTGAAATAATTTTAGGTGAGAGCGATGCGGTCGCACACTATCACGTTTAATATTAATATGGTCGGCGAAATGTGGGTATATTGACTGTTACGTTCCACCGTAACTATAAAAATCGACAAATATCTCTGACTACTTATTGTGAATTATAATTGTGAATATATTTATTATTTTAAACAATTTTATTAAAATAATTTAGTATGCATAAATTGTTTTCAAAATATGCCAAGCATAAAAACAAAACAGTTTATGTGCATGATATCTATCATCCAATTTATCATTCATAACATTGTTTTCGTGATATCTAACCACGTAAAATTGCTTAACGCGATTGGTTTTGACACTCGACTTAACTCGACTGAACTTCTGTATCAAGATTTCTTACACTGTGATAATACAATGTATTGTTATGTACGGTGAAAACTTTTGTGTTGGCTGTTAAGTTCAGTTTTACAGTGTTAGTTACATATATTTTATGATCATTTTGTTTGTTATTGCAGGTCAAATACGCCAGAGCAACCTGAAACTGAAAGTAAAGAAAATGCTTAAATTATAATAATTTGGATACTAATTGAAGAGTTGATAGTCGTTATATAAAATATCGTCATTCAAAAACATGTTTTTCGTTTGGTTACTGTTATCAGGCTAAAGGTTTGCAGTAAATAATTCACCATTTTGTAATGCAAATATTTGATAAAGTGAGTAACAAGGCTTCATTCAACAGTACTAACTATGACATTGCTAATTATTGCAGAATTTAATATTTGTTATATATTCTTTATGTAGCTAATACATAGTATTATGTTTATTAAATTCTCTTATACAAAGGATTGTAATACATAGAACATTAGCTTCATACAATATTGCAAATCTATGTATTTTGGGTATACACCTATTAGTAATAGTTATATGTTTATAACTGAAAGTATGAGTAAAATAATATAGATGTTTGTTGTCATCAAGGGTGTAAAAGTTGATGTGAATCTTGTTGTTATCATATTAGAATAACTCTAGTTAATGTAATTTAGCAGTGTATTTAAGTATATTTAAACACTTTTAACTAGTACTCGCTATTTGGCTCATCCAACAAACTGTTTGGATAGTACTTGCCTATTATTGTACGAGGGTTCCGTCATAATATTATCCATATTATCTTGTGGATATATCGAGTTATACCATTGTATTGTTTTCTTATCATTATAAGAAAATCAATGCATCTCACTTATATACATCTGTACATTATAAAAAGACATTTTAAAGAAATAAATTATTTAAAGCGTTATGACATTTTAAATTTGTTGTATTTTACTGTATCTCAGTAAATAGGTCAATTATATATTCATATAACAATTATTTACATAAAGTACCTACTGACTTTAATTTTGCGATATACGATAAGAGAAACTTCAATCTTTCAAATTACTAATTTGAAAAATTGCCCTTAGTTGTATAGGATTTTACAGTAACACCTGATGACCATTATTATAATTATTACAATTTTAATCAATTCAGTCCGACAGTTTTAATAATTATTACTATTTTTATAATTATAGCCCTAAACATTATTTTATTATCTATATTTTAATTGTTTATTTAGTTCTTTGCATTTTTGTATTATTTTGATATTTTGATTTGTCCAATAAAATATTTTTTTTTTAATAGATTAAGACTTGTTGTTCACATAAAGTTTTAATATTGTAATTAACAGTGATTAGTGTGTAACAAATTATGTATTTGTTTGCCACTTTCTCTATAATTAACAATTCAGGGAATACACATGAAGACATCTACTATTTAATATATTTAGTATTAAAAATATTTATAATAAGAGAGTTAATTTTGAATGTGTGATTTATGTGTTGCGACACTTTATCTTTAATTTAATGGTATCAAACGATATTAGGGTCCTATTAATAAATCGACATCGAGAGTAGTAGCGTCTTGATTGTGCATTTAGGACGTTATAAATAGCAACAAACCTTAATAAAATTGTTCTTCTTAAAAACTGAGTGATTATTTTCAATAGCTTTGATACTTTTAACCGTCTTCTTACATCGAGGTTTTTATTTTAGCATTTTTGTATACATATTACGAGATATCGAAAGATGCTTGTGAAGTAAATGATCAAAACCACCACTCTGAGGGTTTATTTATTCACAAGAGAATGTCTTAGCTTTTAAATGACACGTTGACAGTTTTTAATTGAAATAGAATTTTAAACGCAAGCTCCATTGTTTTACATTTGATATTGAATAATACAAGTAAATACTAGACAAACCTAAAGACTTTTTTTATAAATAAATTTATACACATTTATATCTGGAATGATTTCGACTAGATGGTCTAAATTCCAGTAAAATTATATTAAAAATTAACTTTTTTACTTATATTTATAAAATTATTAGGCGTTTATTTCATTACTTATTTTATCTGTTATACTTATTTAGTTTATTCAGGTTTAGTGCTTAGCATTTTTTTTATTTGTACTTATATTATTCACCTTATAATAATTAGGTATGTTTAAGCATAAATATGACGGTTGGTGGTGCATTATGATGCGATGTTTAGTACTAAGCCCGCGTAAACTAGATACCGTCAAACTCTGTAACTTTGCCTGCTTTTGTTACATTTTTCGAAATTCACTACAAATATCATATTTAGGGAATGTTATTATAACTTAACCCATTCTTTATTTTGTTGAAGGAACAAAAATAATCAATAGGTGATAAATTCTTTGTTACTATATTGGGTTTAGTAGAAAAAATCTCTTTCCGAGGTAAGCTAATCCAATCACAATATTTATTGTTGTAATAGCCTCATTTTTGTATTTGTCAAAGACTATTTTCAAAATATGGTTCAGAGTTCCTTTTTTTTACTGAATATATTTGTAACAGAAATATGTTGGAAGCTTGTAGACTCTTGATTTTTAGCTAAATTTATCAAGCTCGAAAACTTGAGAGAGGCGAGGTTAGAGAGTTTTACACTAATTGTAACATTCGTTGCCGATTGTAATATAATTGTACGAATTATCTTGGCATAATACTTCCACAAACAATTATATTCATATCCAAAACATTAAAAAATTGTAGTTGATGTCAAAGTTTTAGAATAAGTGTCAAAATCCTGTAGTATAGAACTTGTAGGCACTTTGGGATTATTAATATTTATGTTTTAGCATATAAGCATTATATTATTGTAGACTGATTGGTCTCTTGCGATAATTTCACTACTGCTCACACTGTAAGTAAATAATTGTAAAAAAAAAACAACTTTTATTTATATCTTACCTATTCGTTTATTTTTTTTATTTACGTTCCTTTTCATATTTATATAGTGGTGGTTGTATAATTAGAAACACTAGCAACGGTCCTTGACATTATGTAAGATTCACTCCAATCGTTTTTATTTTAAAATTAAATAATAAATAGGACAACAATATGTCCAACGATTTATCATTTATTAGAAAAACAATATAAATCCCACTACACAAGTGTAGTTTCAATATTATATATACCTACATTACCCACAAAATTTTAACAATATCAATTTGTACCAAATTGATATTGTTAAAATTTTGTGGGCCCTGGATGCCTTTATTAAAGAATTTATTTATTATTATTATTTATTTGTACGTTTAAGTTCTACTTTCTTTATTTATAAAAAGTGTTTCTAATTATATGACCACCACTGCATATAATTCGACAACATGCATTTAAATGTTTCCTTGGCTAGTTACATATATGATCAAGCGAACTTCGAGAGTGAAGTTCGATCAATATTATATGAGTCTTCATTCTTCAGATATATAGTTATTAACCAGGTAGTCCTTTTATCCTACATGGTAACTCGCACGATTTTTAAAGACAAAATCGATAAATTTTATCGATTTACCATATTTTTTTCTTCTTGCAACATTTCTCGACAGAGCCCTCATTCTTTAGAGACCAAATCAAAACTTTTCGGGGATTTGAGATGGGTGGGTGTTTATATCTGAAGAATGAAGACTCATATAATATTGATCGAATTTCACTCGCGTAGTTCGCTTGATTAAATATTATATTTAGTTCTTCATTCTTCAGATATATAGTTATTAACCAGGTAGTTCTATAAACTACATGGCAACTCGTACGATTTTTAAAGACAAAATCGATAAATTTTATCGATTTGCCATTTTTTTTCCTTAATGCCCCAATAGTATACTAATATGTATCAGGTTTCAAATTTAATACAATTTATAATAAGAGAGTGTGGGCGAGAAATAATCTATAATAAACGCCGTGTGGTCTCAACGTAGGATGTGCCACCACTTCCTTTCCCATGGGTGGCGTGAATGGCGACTAAAGGGAACTATATGGTCGACGGATGGTTCGCAGCGTCCTTTTTAAAACATCACCAAAAGCTAGCTGTGGTTGCCAACCCACCTGCCAAGCGCAAGGTAACTAACTACTGGCAAAACTCCCTTTACGGGGTATGCCTATGTTCAGCAGTTCACAGTTAACGGCGGATATAATAATAAAAAGCTGGTCAAGTGTGTGTCGAACTCGCACAAACAAAACCATAAAAAATCATCAACTTTAATTTTTTTTGTGAAGTAACTACAAATTTACGATTTTCGGATTTTTCCTTTACTTGTAAATTTCATGATTCTACGTCAACGGGAAGTATCTTATAGGTTTTGATTCCCTTTGCGAATGTCAAAATATGCGATATAAATGGAATATAAATGCCCTTATATTTTAATTGCGTTGATTTAGAAGTTTGATTTTTCCACTGCTTTAAGAGATTGCAGACCTGTGTATATGATATTAATTTCAACTTGATATATTTACACATTCCGAGGAAATAGGGTCTTGACAGACGGACGGACGGATGGACAATATAGTAAACCAATAAAGGTCCGTTTTTTCCTTTGGTGGTACGGAATCCTAAAAATAATGAGTTGTTTGTTATAAGGACATATTTTATATAAATAACTATTACTAATTTTTATTTAAGTTAAAATATATTTAAATATAATTATTTTAAGCCTAATATTTACTCAAATACCTAGTGCAACGACACAATGCCATCTAGTCTTAAATTAAGCAGAGCTTGTACTGTGAAAACTATGGCAATGAAATATCTGAGTACGGAGGCATAAGGGACTAGTCATCAGGGATAGTTACGTGTTATTGGAAAACTAAAAGAATAGTAAATAAAACTATAAATAGTAGTATGTTATAGTATAAGCAAGACCATAGGATAATGTATGCCCAATGAATTAAGATGGAATGCTGTAATTACCTTAACAGCCACCCAGGCTTCAGAAGCAGGCAAGGGTGGAATGGTGCTATGATAGACAAATTTGAAGCAGACTCGTCTCGGCGTGTTTATGACATCGTTACAGGTGATGAATCCTGGATTTATCAATACGATCCAGAAACAAAGCGCCAGTCGGTTTTGGTATTTCAAAACGAATCAACGCCTACCAAAGTAAAGCGACCTAGAAGTGGAGGGATGATTTTGATCACTAGCTTTTTCAATTTGACTGGCTCTTTTTTTTCTTTTCATTTAAGAGGTTCCTCTTGTCGGCGTAACTAATTCATGCATGACTGGCTACTTGGTGTCAATTTCTTTACGAAACCAAAGAAGCATTAACGCCGAATGGTATACTACCAAATGCTTGGCAGAAGTTTTTTCTGTTGTGAGCAACAAGCGACCAAACACAGGGCTCTGCAGGCTAGTACTCCACGACGATAATGCGCCCGCCCACATCGCAATCAAAACGAGGGACTTCCTAGATAGCACACAGGTCAAACTCCTGGGTTACCTTCCTTACAGCCCTGACCTAGCACTGTGTGTCTTCTTCTTATTCCCAAAAATAAAAAATCAGCTCAAAGGGATACAATTTTTGTCGCCAGATGATGCGCTCTCAGCATTTGAGGCTGTAAACGAGCTGTCTGCGGCGGACTGGAAAAAGTGATTCGAAAACTGGTTCAGACGCATGAAATTTTGTATAAAGGCTGGTGGAGAGTACTTTGAAAAGATGTATCACAAAACTTTCTGAGTGTCCCACGTAGGTAGTACTTAGACAAAATAAAAAAGTTTAATGAGCAAATTTAGTTGTAAAAGTACCTGTTAGCGCCAATTGTAACTCTTCTCTGATATTTTAGGTCTTGTCCGCGTCTGCATATGTATGAATTTTAAAAGTAGAAGAGCCAATAACGTTAATTTTAGATGGTGTATCGAGATATTCAAGTTTGACCTTCAGGAACACAACTACGATTTGTTGCAATAGGTTTTACGTAATGCCAAAACAAATGAGAGAAAAGAGAAAAAAACAGAAGAGGTTTCTTCGTTTTATAACGCGCGCGTAATGCTTCTGTTATTGGAGGCGTTCATACATTACGCTGTATGGTTATCGTGTGGGATATAATAGGTCACCCTTTTACGAACACTCACGGGGTGTCGTAAGAGGCAATTAAGGGAAAATGTAAATATAAATTGAACTCCCATTTCCGCACTAAAGCTCTCATTTGGGCTATTGTACTGTACTGACTGTATAGCCAGCCAAGCTCCATTTAGATGTACAGAATCGTCCTAATATCTTTACAGGCCTCATGGAGCGATCCAAGCTCCATTTAGATGCACAGAATCGTCCTAATATCTTCACAGGCCTCATGGAGCGACCTCATTGTTTCGAGGATTTGTGAACATTGAGCAGTGGTTTCTTTGGTGTCAAAACAGTCACGATATGAAGTGCTGTCTTGTATATTGTGTATAATGGCCCGTTATTGTCCTTATCATTGATTTAAGGTTTTCCTATTTAGATATAATAAATGTTTTGACAGTCGTTGATCGTCGTTGGCACGGCCAATTTTGATTGTCTGCAGTCAGTAGCCTCTGTCCATCTTTGATTATGTATGACAATGGATCTTTGACAAATCTGTTTGAAACTGCAAGATTTTAGTACCGATGTGCTATTAGGAATATAATGTCAATGTTATTTATCCTTAAGTTACGTATAGCTATAGCATCTTCAGTTATTACTGCACATTTGCATTGGAATATCGAGTTGTGTTCATCAAGCGGTATGTGTATGTTTATATTGAGCTCTAGGAAAAGACTCCAGCTCCTAAACCGTCCTCAGTTTTGGAGCCATCCGTTTAATTCATGTACTTCAGATTGGTCCTTTTCATTTTATTTTATTTGTATTTAATATTTTTTGTTAAATATATAAAGATCATGAGTTCTATCATACGGAGCCGCAATAAGTGGTTCATGTTGCATTTCCTGGTGTAGAATAGAAGTGTAGGGATTGTTGTGATTTTTACCATATATACCGATATGCATTAGTCAGATGATGGCTAAAACCACTTCTTTCTGTACGTGCAGATCTATGGGAGTTATGTTAAGGGCTACATCTATTGCTATTGTTGAAATTGTTTTCATGCAATTGCTGATAGCAGAATAAGTCAGTCTCTGGAAACTTTTTAGTTTCCAGCGCACCATAGACTAACATTGGTCTTATCACAGCTATGTAGAGTTATAGTATAGAGTTATGATGAGAGACTCGATTTGTTTCCTAGCATTTTTTTGCATTGGTAAAATGCAATTATATTTTTGTTTAGTTTATAGTCAAGATGTTTCTTCCAAAGCATTGCACTGTATAGTATAATGCCAAGGTACTTAACTTCTTCCTTAAGTTACAGTTTTGTTAGTCTGTAAGGACCTGTTATCGTTCTGTTTGTAAAATTAATTAATTCTGTTTTGGCAGGATTAACCGAGAGTTCATGCTGTGCGCAATATCTCAATTTCTTTAAAAGTATGATCCTTCATACGATCACATAGGACACCTTCAAAATTTCCTGATAGAAGTACAGTTATATCATTCACGTAACTTACCGTATAGAGGCCGTTTTTGTTAAGCTCTATTATGAGTTAGTTTATGACTACATTCCATAATAGCGGTGATCGTACACCGCCTTGTGGGTAGCCTCTACTGACGATTCCTCATGTGAATAGAATTAATACATATGTCAGTAATTTGTATAGCTCATTATTTAAGCATGTTAAATATCCTTTCGTTAAGTATTGTGTCTACTCAATGTGTAGCCAGTGCCCGACTTAACTGGCAAAATTTGTTTTATCTAAGGTCTCTACGATGTTTATAAATGCACTTAGAGTTGTTTGCTTCGATTGCAATGCATTGCCTATTCGGGATACCATGTTATGAAGTGCTGATTCAGTTGATTTGCTTTTACTGTAAGCATGTTGATTTGGATGTAAAGGTTTTGCGTAAGGAGA